GACACCAGCAACTATCAGGACATCTGCAGCATTGATTAAACTGCCAACCATAAAAGACCTTTCCTGGTAGATGAAGGAACACAGCCATGATAAGTTAATACTCTTTGTCAGGAGTGCATGCAGGAGCCAGGCCCTGTGGCCAGTAGGGCTTTGCAGGACTGGGGCCTTCCTGAGTTTGTTCTGGAGAGGCAAGGCACGGCCGCACAGGTGAGGCCGCTTGGTAACTCACTGCACCTGGTGGCAAGAGCTGGGAAGGGATATAAGGTCAGCATTTCCCTGTGGCTCTTTGCCACAGCAACACGTTTCCTGCCTTGCTGTGTTTGGCTTCTTGCTTCCTGATCCTCGGACCTTGGCTTTGTGACTCCTTGCTTCTCGACCCTGGGACCCTTGACTTCGTTACTCCCTGCTTCCTGACCCTTTGATCCCTGGCTTCTGGACTCTCGTTCCTGCTCCCACCCCGCCATCTTGCTCCCGGTCCTGACGGCCTCAGCTGGGACTTTGATCGCCTGTAGACCGGATCGTGACATCCTTAATCTTTGGAGGCCAAACTGGGGGGGGGGGGGCTTCACGGAGCTGGATTCAAATCTGAAGGCCACAATCTCAGATAGACTAAGATTAGGTATACCCTGTGTTGTTTGACACTCTTGGGGCCTTCAGAAGTACAAAAGAAAGAGGAATCCAGAAGAGGTGTTCCAACAGAGCTGGGTTAACCACTAAGCAAAATAAGGGAGGGAGAGGCGCTACAAAAAAATTTCATTGCCAGATTTTTAACATTAATTGTCACAAATTGCTCAACTGAGTGTTCATTTTCTCAATTGAAATACAGTCATACTTTGGAAGTCAAACGGAATCCGTTCTGAAAGTCTGTTTGACTTCCAAAACGTTCAGAAACCAAAGTGCAGCTTCCGATTGGCTGCAGGAAGCTGTGCCAGACGTTGGGTTTCTGAAAATCGTTCGAAAACCAGAACAGTCACTTCTGGGTTCCAATCATTCAGGAGCCGATTTGTTTGGGAGCCAAGACATTTGAGATCCAAGGTACAACTGTATATTAAAAATCCCAAAAGAACAACCATGTAACAAGGCCTCATCTCTACTAAATATAGAAACAAATGTGTTATGTAAGATTCATTTTGAGGATCTGATGAAAGACTTTGCAATTTAAAAAGTAGGGTATAAATAAATATAAATTAATAATAAATAATATTACTTATAAGTATGATATGAATGATGTGATATGAAGATTCATATAGAGACAAGATTGATAAGAGAGATCTGTGTGAGAGACAGAATAGAGTGCTTTTTCTCAGGCTGAGAAAGATGGGAACTGTCCCAGGTAGGAGCTGGGAAGATGTGGAAGATTAAGATAGAAGGTTGATAGAATATAAAATTTTGGGTTGGGGGGGCCTGTTCCTCCCCTCCCTCTTTTCTTTTCCTTTTCCCCCTTTTGTTCTTTTTAGATACTAGCTTTGTTTTATTTTTGTTATCCAAATATAAATAAAGTGGAAGTATACGAAAATAAACATTATTTTCCATCTTACTGAAGGGTTTTTTTTTATTTCAAAAAATAAAATTTTATTTTACGGTTTATTAATGTTTATATTTTGAATTAGATATATATGGGGGCACCAACATCTTTTAAGTGCTTAGAGGTTTTAATCTGGCCTTGGGAACTTCAGCCGGCTTAAGAAAGGCTAAGGTGTCCATCTGAGAAATTTTCTAGTGAATTCTCACCTTTACAACCTCAGTGCCCATTCAATAAAGGCTGTGTGTGTGTGTGTGTGAGAGAGAAAGAGAGAGAGAGAGAGAGAGAGAGAGAGACCGGGATCAGAACCACAAATGCAAGTTAATCATTTTCTGATTAACTACCACACACTAAATGTCACAAAGTGGGCAACGAATGTGTTAAGAAACAAAGCATCCCGAAGTGGGCAGCTGCTGAAGATGCTCCTTTTCTGTGGCGCCATTTGGCACATGAGGGGATGAGGCTTTGTGCTCACATAGAGATTGCTGGAGGCTTTGTCCTCAGATAAGGTTCTCCCTCAGTTTCACACAAACACACCTGTGGGGCTAGAACTTGCATGCCTCTGGATCCTGGCAGCTAGAGCGCTCATGTGCTTCCTCTGGTCCTACCTTTAACCACTGACCTTTCACCCATCCCTTACCCAGTGGGTTCCTGATACTATGAAGATAAAAGTCATTGCCAAGCTATGCAGTACCCCAATGCATCTCTGAAAGGTCGCTGATGGGGTAACTGTTGGGATACTGCCAGGGAGATAAAGTCCATCAAGGCCCCCAAGCCGTCTGCCGGACGATCCATCGACCTCCCGTAGGCACGCAGCGACATGAGTTTCTAGAAAATATCTTGCCACATTCTCGAGCTCATGCACGCTCTATCAGCAGATAATGCACAGCCAAAAGTTGCAATCAGGAGAGCATTATTTACAAGTTTATTCAGCGTTGATCAGAACACAGAAAAACATGACTGACTGCTTTTAGTGTCTGCGACACAGAGAGAAAACGAAACCAACAGAAAACATAAACATCCTGTGAACAGGAAATACGCAGACTCTGACTCACAAAGCCTGCTCCCTTTTAAGGTGGAACGGAAATATCCTAACAGTAACTTCCTCACAATATGGAATAAGATCGGAATGAATTTTCTGGGGTCTTTTTAAAACTAAATCTCCTACAGATCATTTCTCTGTCCCCTAACAAAATTAAAAGAGTGGTGAGCTGTAGCAAATTTGTAGAGATGAGTTGTTGAAAAGAGCCAAAGGTATCTAGAATCATAGAATCTTAGAGTTGGAAGGGACCCAGGGGTCATGCAGTCCAGCCCCTGCAATGCAAGAATAGAGGGGGGCCCCTGTGTGTTGAGATTCCTGCACTGCAAGGAGTTGGACTACAATGGGAGGCCCCATTAGCTAAAGTGGTGCTTCAGGTTAAGAACAGTTTCAGGTTAAGAACAGACCTCCGGAATGAATTAAGTACTTAACCTGAGGTACCACTATATTCCTCTTCCAGTTATGGCCCTACAGATGTCTTCATGCTTATGTCTGTCCTCTTACAGCCCCTAGCTGGAACAGGGTCGTGACATTATAGTCATCTTGCACTAGGTGCATTAGTGCATTGCCTATTTCTGCTTTATGCTGTGGCATCCAGTAGTTCGGGTTGTGCTACTGTGGTGCCTTCATTTAAAGGAGGCCTGACCAACAGAGAATTTTGACAGAACAACATAGAGCATCATGTTAACAGAAAAACAAGCTGAAATTGCAGTGACCAAAATAGTGGGTTAAATGCCATGGAGAAATTCATGGATACGAGTTTCCCCATTAGACCCACTCAAATTACTGGCATTTATAAATAACAACTACAAATAATCTTATTATATCTTTGGGGAATTTGCCATTACTGTACTTTAAATCAAAGATGGACTTAAAACAGATGAATATTTTACCCTTCTAAGCATTTTTAAATAATCTAATTTACTTTCTGGCACAGTACATGGGCACAAGCAAGTACAGTAAATGTTTAAAAATTTTGATCAGCCTATCTTCTTAGGACATCAGAACAAAACTGCTTGCAAATGTAAAATAATATTTTTAAAAGTATGTTACTTCCCAGGAACATGCTGTTTTCAAGGCCCTTTTCCATTATGTATTATTTGGTTAGAAAAGAAGGAAGTGGGGGAGGATGATGTACATTACGGTAATTGATTGGGAGTGATCCCAAAATGTTACAAATCTCTAGCCTAATTAAGTAAATACACATATTAAAATAAATAAGTCGGCATGTACACTGCAATTAAGAAATGCTAATGGAACAAGAGACGGGGGATGGGGGGGAGACCTCTATAGGGTCTCAGGAATAAGGTTTTCCAAGTCCTGTTAATTAAAAATAAGCACAGCCCTTCTGCTATACATTAAAATGTTCATCTGCTTTTGAATATTTTTTTAATTTAAAAAAAATCTAAAGAAATAGTAGATCTAGGTTATTACGTATCTCAAGTAGCTGGGAATTATCTTCATTTGGTTCACCGGTGACCTGAGCATAGGATGTATTTTCTTTTCTTTTTTTAAAAAAAGCTGGCTACTATAGAAGCAAGCATTGCCTTGAAATTCTGGCACGTGTGAACATGAGAGCTTCAGGAAGCCCAGAAATTCCATGAAAGCAGATAATGCTCTGTACACTTCAATCTAGCAAGCAATGCTCTGTATGTACACCCTCACTGTCCCAGCATGGTCATAAGATATGCTTCTAGCTTCAGTGTCCTCTAAAGCTTTGAAAAGGAAGATGCTGCTTGCACACTTGCAAGACTCTCCTCACAAGATTGGTTTGCTTGGAGGGGCAGCCTTGGGGGGGGGGGTGTTTGTTCCCAACGACCAGGGGTGGTACCATCTTGGTGACGGAATGGAGGTCAGCCCAGCTAGCTCCTCCTACTCTAGCTGTCCAGCCTCCCCTGTTGCTAGGGGATATTTCCACTCCACAAAATGGGCAGAACGGGGAACAGTGGAACTGCCTCCCCTTCTCTAGTATCTACAGGAAAAGAGGTAGGGTCCCATCCTCCCTCTCAGGCTGCTCCCTGCCAAGGACATTCTCTGCACTAGTATTTTTCAAACTTGGGCCCTCAGCTGTTGTTGAACTACAACTCCCATCATCCTTGACTACTGGACTTGCTAGCTAGGGATGATGAGATTTGTAGTCTAACAACAGCTAAGGGCCCAAGTTTGAGAAACACTGCTCTGCACCTACTTCTCCACATCTGCCTGGTCAGACCAATAGACCATGGATGGATGGCAATCTTCAGAGGTTCCATTAATGAGTCTTAACATTAACTTCCGTTTTAATTCTCTCCCTCACTTCTGTTTCTCTCTCTCTCTCTCTCTCTCTCTCTCTCTCTCTCTCTCACACACACACACCCACACCTTAACTCTTGACTGCTTATTCCTTATGATGCACATTGTGAATATTCAGTCATATTGTTAAAATTAAGGGAACTTGGATGAACAACTGTTAAAAAATGAAAAAGTTTATTTTCCTAAAAACGATACATGGTTGAGAGAAACTATAGATACAAACAACACTCATTTATTGAGTTTCATTACATTATTGGGTCATACTTCAGTATGATACATAAGAAGCCTCATACACGATTGCTCCAACCCAGCAAGAAGCCCTCCTGTGTGCATAATGGTGGCCTAAATCCATGCTCACCTGAGCCCTAGTGGGAGGACTCTTTGGGATGTGCCTCAAGGTGATGTCCACCCACATCTGGAGCCACCAGCTGTTCTGCAGCCCATCACTGCAACTGAATTGGGCCCTTCACCATGACTAATTTAAAAAATAATTTTAGCTTCTAAAACACCAATCCCAATCTAGTATGTATCCACAATAGGTACGTACTGTTTCTATGTACATATCTCTGCTGCTGGATCATGGCATAAAGGTTTCGAATTACTTGGTTCCACTGCACTGTTGATTTCATTCTAGTTTGTCACCAAAGAAATGGGGATCTCAAAAGCCACTAAAAGTAGTTTAGTCTACAGGATGGGAGTCAGAACCTGCCATCTCTGGACAGCGGTCAGGGCCCCCCACTCTGGAAGGGCCCCCTCCTTTTCTAGCCTAAGAGGTGTAACTCTAGAGTAGTATCTGGGATCTGCAATGCCTTGAGTTGTTAATGCCTTTGGGGATCTTGCAGATTAAGGAGTACCAAATTCACACATTTCCCCCTTCAGTTCTAAACCTTCATGATGCACAGCTAAAAGAAGATGGAGAAAAGGCCTGCAGCCCTACCTTAGGCAAGCTCAAAAAAGATTATTGCTTGTTCCTGTTACCCTTTTTTTTCCCCCTTTTTTTTTTTTTGCTTTAAGCAGCAGGCTCTCATATCACAGACTGCTTTTGAAACTCTCCTCTGTTTAAAAAGCAGACTGCATTGTGACATGAGAGGTTGCTGTTTGGGGGGAAACCCAAAGTGCCATTTGGACTTTGGATCCAAGACAATGAATCATGAGCACATCCTTCTCTTAGCGGCTGATTTCACATCAGGTACCACATGTTAAGTGACATTTTCCCCAATACTGGGGTCATTTAGCCCCTCAATACCTTGGCATATACAGTGTTTATTTTTCTACCATTTACTTTAGTTGGGGCCTACCTAATGCTAATGCCTTTTAATGAAATTTTCAGATAAAAAAACCCCAAAATACACACCTATTTTGAAGCACTAGAGAACTCCACCCACCCGCCCCACTCATTGCAAGAGAATATATGTGGAATATGTGTGGTGGGGGGTCATTTTTGAGGTCAGTTATGCCCAGTGCTATTTTCCTAAAAGAAGAGGTGCCAGAACTCACAAAAAACACCTCCCTTGTTCTCTTATAACGGCATTGGTGCCAGAACTGAGCTGGACAAAAGCCCTGGTTATGCCCCAAATTCATCAGAGGTGATTTCTGGATTTTTACAATGAAAAAAATTAATTTGATAGCCAGGCAAGGCATTCAAGAAGGTGGAAGTAGGGAGGGTGAGGGCAGGCAAGGCTCTGATCCTGCAAAATCTTGCATGCAGCACCCTGACTAAAAGACCTCAGCAAAACAGAATGTAAAACCCCATAGAAGGACAGGGAGCTGGACACACTATTTATTTGTATATACAATCCAGCTAGATCAGACTCAAAGGTTATTGCTCCATCCTACTTCTATTTTAGATAGTTTGCTATTGGTCCTTTAATTAAACTATAAACCAGAAATGTTACTTGAAAAGAAAGCTATTTGGTCTCACTCCCAACCCCCGTCTCACCCCTCCCTGCCCCCAAAGGTGTGCATAACGTTTCTATGAGTTTGTGGTAGAGTTTCACTTGGAAGCTCTCCTGCTTCCACCCAGGTGGCGAGGCGGATCAGAACCAGTACTCCGAAACAAAGATGTGCACGTTGACAACGTTGCGGTGTGAGACAACCCCTCCAATGACGTAGTTCATCTCCAGCTTCAAGGTAGCGTGGAAGGGGCCAATGATGGGTTTCACCTGGCGAACCACACCTGTGGGTTGAGGAGGAGGAAGAAGAATTAGTGCCACAAATATAACTGGGCTCAGCTCTGCCATACTGAATAATGACCTTAGTCCTTCCGGTCAGGTCGTTTCCCGCAGGGGATATGGCTATTCCATTCTGTGGCCTTTGGGTTATGGAGTGTCACAAGCTTCCAGCCTATCTCCCAGGCTGTGCAACAGGCCACAGTCATCATGCATGCCCTGGTCGCAGAATTATAGAAGAGCAGCGATGGGAGGGACCGCCAAGGGTCATCTAGTCCAATCCCCTGCAGTGCAGGAACCCCTTCAGGTTAGATTCCTGTAATATTCTGTACAAAAACCTACCTTTGGAGGCAAGTTTGAAAACTTCGGTTTGTCTACAATGCGATTACCAGGGTGTTGACAGGAAGAATGGGGCCTTTAAGAGAGGTGTTCTGCTGTTTTAGCAGTCTGTTTCAGAGGACTGGCTTTTATTTTAAAGTAATTTGGGACCAGAGGATCTTAAGCACTGCTCCCAACCACATGAAATGACACAGTCATGAAGATCAATTCATTGATGCCCTGCTCCAGGTGGTGAAGACAAGAAGCTGTGGCAGCAAGGAAGTTTAGAAGACACCATGGAGAAAAATGCCACTATGAATGTAGTTTCTAAAGAGAAGGGTCGGCTGAATATGCTGCAAACAAAGAGCCATTTGCAGATGTGTTCACAATGCCTCTGAGAACACCTGTGAGGTGGCTTCTCACCCTTCACACCCCAGGCTATAACCTTCCTCTTCCATGGTGCCTTTGGGTGAGCTTTGCTGGTCCTCATCTCCAGCAGAATAAGGCCTAAGTAGAGGTAGCTGCAGGAGCAGGGGGCCTTCCGAAGAGCATGGTTAGTTCCTTTCCTGACTCTCGTGGTGGCTGACTTTTGGCTGTAGGCTAATCAGGGCAGAGGCCTCTTTTGCACTTCACTTTGTTTTGTTTGCTTTGTAAAGCGCCATGCAGTAAATCAATATATAAATAATGGAAATAACAATGAAAAAGCATTAACAGTTAAAATTTTCCCCTTTATATACTACATACATGGTGTTTCAGAATAACCAAATTAACCAAATCCAGAAATCGTGTCTATCTCATGGAAGCTGAACACAAAGTGAGCGGCTCAGAGGTTGAGAAAGTATTAAAGACACTGTTTTTGTTTTTTTCTTAAGCACATAGGGACATTAATGGGCTTTGTTTTCTTCCTTATACAAAAAGGTTTGCTCTCCACTACCACAAGTGATGAAAAGTTCCACGGACAGTGTAGCAGAAGATTTTTGTTTGCTTGTAATGCCCCCAAACCATTTCCCACTTGGCTCCAGAGTATGTCACTTTCTCAAACTTGGGTGGCATTTCTAGCTAGCAATAAATCTTTAAACATTTATTATGAAAACTGTAGTGAATCTGAAAGATGCATTAATGGTACTCAACTCTTAAAGGTAAAGGGACCCCTGACCATTAGGTCCAGTTGTGGATGACTCTGGGGTTGCGGCGCTCATCTTGCTTTATTGGCCGAGGAAGCTGGCGTACTATTGGCCAGCGAACCAGAGCAGCGCATGGAAACGCCGTTTACCTTCCCACCAGAGCAGTACCTATTTATCTACTTGCACTTTGACGTGCTTTCGAACTGCTAGGTTGGCAGGAGCAGGGACCGAGCAACGGGAGCTCAGCCCGTCGCGGGGATTCGAACCGCCGACCTTTTGATCGGCAAGCCCAAGAGGCTCACTGGTTTAGATCACAGCACCACCCACGTCCCTACTCAACTCTTAACATCTGCCTAATTAGGCAGCCCTTTAAAAGAAGTTTCCACCATTTATTCATAGAGAGATATTGGAGTGGGAAAGCTCTGACCTCACCCACTTGTTGCACATTTCAAGGTTTGTGTTTTTCAAGGCCAGCCCTCCCATGATGCAGATTGAAGCACCTCCCTCAGGCAGTAGAATCTCAATGGAGCACCCCCCCACAGGCCCCCATCCGCCATCACTGGAGAAGCAGCAGCAGGTTCTGGCAAGATCCTGCAAGAGCCCCGCAAAATCTCATGAGATCCTAAAGAGCTCTTGTGAGATCTCACAGGACTCTGCACAAGATTTTGCTGCTGCTGTCTTTTCTCACATCTCACTTTTCTGGCAGTGGCATGGGTGCCTCTCCCTTCCCCCCCCCACACACAAGGGGGGAGCCCTACTTCCAGAACTTGGAAGCCACCTCTGCACAATCCTGGTAAGCACGCCGTGGTGGGGGGCACCTTACCATTTGATCTCAGGTGCCAAAACAGGATAGGCCACCCCTGGTGCTTTCCTCTGTAGAAAATATACTGTTCACAATGGAAACAAGCAACTAAACTTGGAAAAAGACTGTAGCTTCAGAGAAGCTTTGATTGCCACAATGAACACCAATGTTCCTTTCCTTTCATTGTTAAGTTGGGATAAACAGATTTTTGAAATAATTTAAGAAGAAAACCCCCCACAAAATCCATTTACCAGAAGCTGCAACAGGGGGTTGCAGGTGCTGTCTTATTGATTGTTGAGTTTAATAATAAAAAGAAATTTAAATATTGTTTGTAAGCTGCCCAGTGGATATTTATTGCTGGCTGGTCATATATATTGTTCGGTGACTATTTTATATATAATTGCATATAATCTGCCTTTCAAACTGCTTTCTGCTATGAAAACCCCCAATACTCACAGGGCTCTGGCCTGTGGCTGCCTGACAGCATCTTCTGCTTCTCTCCCTGCAGTCTGCTGCTCTCCGCCATGAACAGAACACATGGCTAACTGTCTCCTACACTGTCAGTTTCTGAAAGTGCAAAATACAGAATAACGAAGGGTCACATATTCAAAACCCCTGCTGAGCTGAACATTTTGGTATAGAATTGCTTCTTTCAGTTATTAGAATCCAACAGTGGCATTTAATTTGGAAGGAAACGTACAGTTTAAGGAAGGATTATTTGATATGTGTCCCATTTAGATCTTAGTTGAGGTCATGTTTCAAAAGTGGAGAGCTCGGCAGCATGTATGGCATTCCAGAAGCAGTCTCCTACCAATTCCCTAAGAACACATTGGCTTAGGATCTGATGGGAGAGATAAACGTTTGCTTATGCCAGCTGTCAGCACCCTTTTTTTCTGAATGCCGTGATGACCTTAGAGTTTTGTCCTACTTAAATACTGACTAATATCTTCAGCATGCTGAGAAATAGCAGACTTTTCACCACATTCATTTTGCTTGCCATATTCCATAAACACAGCTCTCTTTTTAAGCATCCTTTCCCCCCCAGTCCCTAAAATGTTACACATAAGATTCATTTCCTTGGACGGATTCCCCTCTCTTATAAAGTTGACTTGTATTGGCAGGAACTGAGATGGGGGTGGAGGGTTAGGGAATCTCCCTGGAATACAGCCCTGGCTATGGAAGCGCGTTCTCTCTTTGGCATTAGCTTCTAACCTATGACACATGAATCCATAGGATGCAATCATTTAATCCAGACAATTTCTTTCCCACTCTGCATATACCCTGGTCAGTAGGCAAAGTTGGATCCCTCCTTGATCCAGTCAGAGATGAAGCAGCCATGGCTTCTCCTGTCTATTCCTCCTCTGCTCTTGTTACCCTATTATCCTCTCCTGCCTGACATCTTGCTTATTGCAATATTCAGGATACTGGAGTGGAGGCGGGTCAAGCTGGAAGAGACATGGCTGCCTAGCATACATTTTGGATGCAGATGTGGAGTCCTAGTAGAATAGCAACTCATTTTTCGTCAGGGCTTTGTTTGAAACCACACAAAGGCTGAAAGGTCAGCAAAAATCAGATCACCCCCCCCAAAAAAAACCCACCACTAGTATGAACTGGGAAATGGAATATATATCAAATAATCTTTCCTTAAACTGTACATGTCTTTCTAAATTAAATGCCACTGTTGGATTCCAATAACTGAAAGAAGCAACTCTGTACCAAAATGTTCAGCTCAGCAGAGATTTTGAAGATGTGAACCTCTGTTATAGCATCAACACTGGGGACAAGTTAAAGAGGTTAAAGAGTCCTGGTAGCCCACTGGCAGCCAGTGCAATACTCTGCCAATTGGGGTCATGCAATGCCACCTTGCTGCCCCAAGCAGCAAATGGGCAGTGTCCTTGTAGCGATCTTCAAGAGAAGTCCAATGTAGAGGGCATCTCAGAAATACAACCGGGAAGTTCTCAGAGGCTGGATTACTGTAGCCAAGTTACCTCCATCTAAATCTGAAACTGGGCATAGGCCCTCCTCCCAGTGAGGCCACATGGACTTCCAGCGACAAGATGGGTCTCTTTATCAAGGCCCAATTCAAGGTACTTAATGACTTGAAGAGCTTAGACCCAAAGTACTTTATGTGGTGGCGTCTCTCACCTGTCAACCCAGGTTCTCAGATCTGATGGGGAGCCCTGTAGGGCATTCTCAGGGGCAGCACCCTGTCTGCAGAATTCCCTTCCTGTACAGATCTGGTGGCCCCAAACTGATTTTCATTCAAGTGACAGCCAAAGACCTATTTATTTGCACAGGCCTTCAGATCATAGAGTGGCCTTACTGAAGGGGGGGGGACCTCTGGCCTAATGGAGCCCCTCAGGCCTCCTCATTTGGCCCATAAGGCCATTTTTGGCCCATACCACACCCCAGCTGACCTTCACCTGATCACTGGGTCTTGCAAAGCCTCTTGCAAAGTGCTCCACAAGACCCAAATATCAGCTGGCACTTGGTTCTTTCAGAGAATCTTGCAAGCTGCACATTTCCCCACATAGTTTGATTTCAAACCATAAAGGAGAAAAAGGGTCACCGGACATCACCGTCAGGTGATTGATAGTTGGATAACCCCACCCTTCTCTGAGTTTTGACCCACAGCGCTAGGGGAGACAATTTGCTTCCACACCCCTGTCCTATTGAGCCAACTGCAGCACTGATTACTTTATGCCTTTGATTACTGTGTTGTGTGGGGCTGTATTACATACCCCTCAACTGTCCTGTTTTAAGGGGGACATCCGGGAATCACAGAAGCCAATCCCAGCTTCTGTTTGCATCCTGGGATTTCCCGTTTTTTGTTGTGGTGCAAGCCAGCAGGGTCTCACCAGAGCTCCGGTGCATCCGACTGCTGAGCGCCAGAAAGCCTTTCATTCCGGCACTCTGACACTTGGCAAAGGTCCAGTGCCAAAGGTCCAGTGCTTGGGCACAACCCTGCTGATGAGCACTGAAGTCCCATTTTGGGGGGGTGAAAATGTTGGGTTTTTGTTGCGATTTTCAACACCGTTTTTACTGTTGTGTTTTATGGGTAGCTAGCCATCCTGGGAGGGGGGTGGGAATGCAAGAACTAAGGCTAAAATAACAACTACAGTTACATGCACTGAAGTTTCACTTTCTGTGCTATGTCAGTTGCTGTGTCAAAGCAAGCAGGACAACATCGCTCTCCTGTCAACAGGTACATTCCAGGCTGGGATGCTTCATCTGTCAACCATGCTGACAGGGCAGCAGGAGCAGACCTGTCTTTATTCAGACACAGCCTGCCACTCTACCTGCAACAGGGCAAGGCCAAGGCCCTTGGGCCCAGCCTCATCTGAGGAGGCACATCAGTGGAACTCGACAACACTGCACTGGAACTCTGGTATACAAATGTTACACAGCTCAGTGAGTAACTCTTGGTTCATGAAGGTGCCAAGATGCATATTTCCTGATATAGTCATGTGAATCTCAAGGGCTTGTAAGGCTCTCTTCAAGGCAAGCATGACAAACACCATCATCCTAGTGCCTGGAGAATGACCTGGTCTTCAAGAACCAACCCTGGCAAAAATATTCGATAAACAGGGGAGACCAGGGCTCATAGTTTGAAGGCTCACTCTGCCACACTTCTGGTCAATCACAAGGCACTTCCAAACCATCACTCTCTTTGCGTGGAGGCAATCACACCCTGACAAATTGGTGATTGGGAGGTCTCGTGCAACAAACCCACTTCTCCCAAAGATTGGACTAGACTAGACTGTGGGAGTGAGGCACACATGTCAGGTCTCACAGTGAGGGGCCAGAACCAAAAGTGGGAGGTGAGAGAGAGAGAGAACTGGGCATTTTCTGCTGAGCTTGATATAAAGGTTGTTGGTTTTCTTGGCTAATAACTTTGGGCTCATCCACACTTAATGTGGAGCTGAAGCTTCCTGTGTCTCTTCTATTCTTATTCTTAAATATCCTTCTCATGAAATCCTCCTCATTCAAGTGACAGCCACAATTCCTCTCTGATAAATCTGAATTATCCCAATCCGTGAATAATTGAATAAGGGCAAAAAAGTCAATACAAAATTGCACACTGCATGTGGTGTAGGTGTGGGGGTTTTTTACATGTGTGGTGATGCTTTCCTGCCACACAGCCTGCTACCAAACCCGCTACTTCCATTTGGTTTTCATTAGCCAAAGGGAAATGATACAGCCTTCCTTTTCTCACTGGCTGTTGCTGGAGGCACATCCATGATGTTTCTATTTTTAAAGCAGCTCTTTTGCACAGAACTGCTCTTGCACCAAAAGAGAAAATAAAATTTGGCCTTGCAGGAGGTGGCAAAGAAAGGAAGCAGCAGCCATAAAGGAAATTGTTCTAAAGATGTTTTATAGATGGTACATAACACCTAGCAAAATATTCAAGATGTATAAAACAAAATCCAAAATGTGTTGGAGGTGTAATCAAGCAGAGGGGACGCTGCTACATATGTGGTGGACCTGTAATAAAATTAAGAGCTTCTGGGATATGGTATATGATAAGCTGAAGAAAATATTTAAACAAACCTTTATTAAAAAAAAGAGACAGAAGCTTTTCCGCTGGGCATATTAGACTCCAACACTGCAAGTGAAAATAAGAGAATATTCCTATATGCAACATCAGTAGCGAGAATCTTAATCGGAAAAAAGAGATAGTATCAACAAAAAAAGAGAGGCAAGATAAATTATTTGATTACCTTGAATTGGCCAAAATGACAGATACAATTAGGGGATGATCTAAACAAAAATTCCAAAAAGAATGGGGAAAATATAGAGATTATCTAACATTACTCGTTGCAAGTGCCAGGAGGGTGCTGGTTTTAAACTTAGCATTGTTTGTCTTCTCACGCTTCTCCTCATCGGGATTTCTGGTACTGCAGACAGATGCTGAAGGTATTCTTTTGGCTCATTTATGTCGCTGTAAGATATAATTACATTTCCCTCCCTCTTGCCCGCCTTCAAAATATGTCAGCCCCTCAGGCAGTTCACCTTCATGTCTGGTTTCTGCTTGTATTTTGTATCACTTAGCCAGTTTGCTAATAACCTTGCATCTTAAACTTAAAAGAGCCATTCTGTTGTTTAACTCATTCCTCGCAAATACTCCTGAGCTGGCAATACGCGGAGCTGCGGAGCACCGTCCCAGAATCTAGACCTGGAATCCAGCACAGGATCCCCGAGGCCACTAGATCTGAAGTGAAGCAAGCAGATCACTTGAACTATACAAAAGCAGGAGCCAGGGACCTATTCTGGAAAGACTGGCCAACCAAAAGGCTAAATGTTACCTGCCAATTGCATCAGTTGATCTTGCAGACCCCTGTTTCCTTCTTGTGCCAAAAGTGGACTCTGACATCTTAGCACACACAGTCCATGTCAATTAGATGGGACAACGCTCTTAATGCAACATTTGTGTTTGTATTCATGTCTCACTCAACTTTCTGGATTTACTAATTTTCTTCACCATACCATGAAATATTTTGCTTTGGTTAGTTTGGTTGCACTAATTGGGACATACTTAATAAAAATGTGTTGGGCCATATTCAACTGAACCATACCGCTAGTGGAAGCCAGTGCAAGGATTCCCAATAGTGCAACAGGACTTCCCCTCCTCCTGCCCCCCCCCGCCATCTCTAAATCTGCTCTGGAGGGTGGGGGGAACCCCAAGAACAGATTAAGGGGGCACGTGGGGAGAGGAGAGAGGGAGAAAATTACACAGCACAAGAAAAATCCTTGTGCTGATGGAACATTCGCCTTACGCTGAATATGGAATTTGGAGAGTTCAAACCACACTGCACGTATGCAAAGAATCTTGTGGCACCTTAAAGACAAACAAATTTGCAAATTTGCAAATAATTATGGGGACACACCCTTGCTGCACATTATTTAGCGTCATTTCAGCTTTGGTAAGTACATGGGAACATAAAAACTGCTGGATTGGCCCAAGGCCCATCTAGTCCAGTGTTGTTTTTCGAACGGTGGTCAGGTTGACTATTTCAGAAGTTTACAGGAAAGGCATAAAGGCAACACCCACACCTTTTTGACAGTGTATTCAGCTCTACTACCTCTGAACATGGAGGTTTCATCTGTCATAGCTAATATCCATTGATAGACCTATCCTTTTTAAAGAACCTCATCACCACTGCCACATCTTACAACTGTGGACCATCCAAACTAATCATGCGTTGTGTAAAGAAGTGCTTATTTTTACCTAATTCCACTGCCAATCAATATAGCTGGGTAGCCCCAAATTCTAGTTTCAGGGGAGACACAAAGAGAGGGAGTGGAGGTGGGGAGAGAGCAGGATCCTGTTCATAACTGAATAGCATAGTCATGTCACCAAGGCTGTGGCAAGTGCCACTCCTTGACCATTTCTTGACTATAAGCCGCACCATGCCACACACCAGGCCACGTCTGCGTGATTCAATTTACCAGGGAAAATAAAGGGCTAATTCAGAGGATTGGGCCCGGAAGCCATTGCACAATCCATCCATCATTACCTAGAGATGAGAGCTGCAATTTTAAGCAGAATTTCTGAAGAACGAATCCTTTTCAGCTGCTGTGCATTCTAATTCCTGACCAAATTCCAAGAATAAGACTAGGAAAGGGGGCTTCTACATCATCTTGCCCCCAGTTTGGTCTTAGTCACACTTAGCTTTGCTCTGCTCTTTCCAGGCCTGCTCTGCTAGTTAAAGCTCCCCTTCCAAGCACCCCTTTTTTGCTCCAGAGTTTTCCAGTCTTTAAAGCTGAATCAGAGCAAACGGGAATCCGTGGAAATCCTCAACTGACATTTGCTCCAATTCGGTGGTAAAAAGTGGTGCATTGTGAGGAAAGCTGAGGGCAAGGGGGGAAAGCCCTTGGACACAAAGCAAGCATTAAAGCACAGGCCGCCTCTGCCTGCTAAGTGTGAAGAAGCCCTTTGACTCAGCTTCAGTTCAGCATCCCACTCTCTATTCTGTGCCTTCTCTGCAGAATTAATACCTACGCACAGTTCTGGCTATGCAGATGAAGAGAGGAATAATTATTTTGCTATGCTTTCATAAGGCTAATCGCAGGGCCTAATTTATGCCAGAGCACATCAGGGCACAGTTCCAGTATCTGTTTTTAGTGCCTAAACTGAGCCCTGGAAGAGTAAGGCACAAAACCAGATGGCTGTGGATGCAGAGGACCATTGACTCGCCACTGTCTCCTCTTGCTTTCGATAAATGCTCTCCTAATACGATTTTGGATTTGTTTGTCTACACTAAAAAGCACAAGTTTGAGAGGTTTACCACTATGTCCCCTGCTTTCTAGGCATGGGTCAGAGTGGTTTTCCTTTTTGCCCCACCTCTTTTCCCTGGGAATAGCCACAATTGACCGCTGAATCGGAGCAAGCGTCGACCCAATTCAGTGGTAAAGAGCAGGTTTTCCCAGTGAAAAGAGGCAGGATCAGAGGAAGCAGGGAAGAGCCCTGGGGTTTGATTGCTGCGGCAACACTGGGGAAAAGGGGTTCCAAAACACACCTGACGTCTCCTTTTTCTAGAAATTAAATGCCGTGAGACAGAAAGTAGATTGAAAGCCTGTGATTACCCAGCCATATGCCTGCTATAGGGCCATTCTTTGAATGTGAGCCCCATCATAATATCCTGACGGTGTTGGTTTCAGAAAAGTTTCCTACTAACAGCAATGTTTAAGGGCAAAAGTTTCATTTTCCATTAACCAAACGTAAGTGTGTAAGTGCCTGGTTGGGGCCGGGGGGGGGGGGGGGAGGAAAAGGAGAGAAAACATCCTGCAGTTGAAAATGCCCTGCCTGAACACAGGTGGTATTACAGAACCCCAACACAGAGCAGAGGGGAAAAGCTGCATAGTGCTCTCTAACACCCCAGGCTTTAATAGGACCTTTTTGCACAAGCTGAAAACGAATTCTTCATTGACAGCTGGTTAAAAGGTACGAGGGGGGGCGGAACTAAACAAAACAAAAAGGTATGTAGCAGAAAGTCTGTAAAAAGGCTTAAGGAGAACAAGCTGAGGCTTTACTCCTGTTTACCCTTTCCCCTAGTTCAGCCGTGATTTAAGGCTACAAGGAATATCTTGCAGAATGAACTGCTAAACTTTGGGGCTCTTTGCAAAGGGGCCAGCCAAGTCTCGGAACCCAAGCTTAGAAATCAGCGGGAGAATCCTGCATGTCTAGTTCTTTCCCAGCCTGGTACAGCATGTATATTGTGAACATCACCAGCCTAGGCTAAAGTGAGCTAAATTTTGAGGGCACAGATAAATCACAGCCAAAATTCACCAGGGCTTAGCCCCAGAAACTGTTTTGTGTGCCAAAGCTTAGAATATGGGGGGGGGGGGGGGAGACCCAGACAGATAATTTTGCCAACCATACTTGTATAGGTGTTCCCTATCTACTACCCCATTTCCATCAGGCTCTGCCCTGAGCCCCCAAATGTGGTGGGGTTTTGCCCACTGATCCCAAAGACAATATCTTTGGCCATTTGCTGTGTTGCACCCCTTCTTCCCTAGTTAGGCTCCAGAACTTTAACCATCAGAGCTTGGGAGACCTGGCAACCCCAGCTGGAAGGGGAGCTTGTCAGGCGAAGAGATTGAGCCATTTAAGCAAAAATACCAAAGAGTGATCCTCATACAGCAGAAAGCAATGAGACAGAACCTGAAATGTCTGTTTACATATCGGTATATATTGTAAACCAATGGTATGATAGTCATCTGTGCTTACAAAGCTCCTCTTTGTTTCCCCTCTTTCAACTCGGGGAGCTCAGTGAGGAGGGCACAGAGTGGCCATTCTTCAAAGTGGCATCCGCATCGTGGAATGCACTCCCCAAGGAAACCAATCTCTCCTGCTCCCCTGCAGCCGCCCTTGAACAGTATTTTGCCATCAGGCGAAGACATTTGTGTTCTAAGGATGTTTCCTATGGACTGATCTGGCTTGCGGGGCATTTTTCACTCAACGGGCTGCTGCTTTTTATTGTTGGCTTTTAGTAACTCTTAAGTACAAGGTTCCCCTGGAGGTTGTTATAGTGGTACCTCGGGTTACATACGCTTCAGGTTACAGACTCCGCTAACCCAGAAATAGTGCTTCAGGTTAAGAACTTTGCTTCAGGATGGGAACAGAAATCGTGCTGCGACGGCAGCAGGAGGCCCCATTAGCTAAAGTGGTGCTTCAGGTTAAGAACAGTTTCAGGTTAAGTACAGACCTCCAGAACGAATTAAGTACTTAACCCGAGGTACCACTTTACTGGTTTTCAGGAAGGATTCAGTTGCATTCTGGACAATATCAGTTTGTGCAATTAAAGTGGATTAAAGCAGCAATCCACTGGGGGAGGGTACTGGGGGAGGGTGCAGCAATCCACTGGGGGAGGGTACTGGGGGAGGGTGCAGCAATCCCCTGGGGGAGGGTACACCACCACCTTTCACAGTTAGGAAAGTGAGGAGGAAATGCATTAAAATGTATTGTGGGGAAATGATTGGTTGATGGGAAAATGTATAATCTCCCAACAAATCAATTGGAATGGATGTTCAATAAAGAGCAGGCATTGTATAACTGCTGCATAAAATCAGGATAAAGGCTCAGTAAACAGGTCACCTGAAGGAGCTGTTTAATTTCAACTTGTGCAGGTGCCTTGGGTGCCATTTACAGTGGTTAATGCAGATAAAAAGAACTACTGCCTCTCCCCATGCCATGTGCTTCCCTTGCCCTTAGCATCAGAGATCTGATCATCTTCTCCTGCTGCTGACTGAAATTTGCCAGACAGCCATGCGTGAAAGTGCTTTTTCAGTCTCTAGCTGCACCTCCATTGTACCTCCCAGGGAAGGAGGACAGCTACTGACATCTTTGCTTCTTTTCCTGGCCGGCAGCTCAGGGGAGTTTTGGAGAACTTGGTCCTTCGATCCTTACTATAGTTTGTCTGTCTGCTTTATTCCATTTGTTATCAGCTACTGTGGATGTCAAATTTTGGACAGAAACGTGGGGCAATTTTTAAACAGTATCTAAAAGTTTCAAGCCGTAGCCCAGTGTTGCCCAACCTGGTGCCCCTCCAGATGTTGGGCTCCAGTTCCTGAGCCTGGAGGGCCACCGGCTGCTCTGCAAAGCCACGCAGATAACAGCAGGCCTGGTCTTCAAAGGTGTGGGATGGCAAAGCGTAGGGACTGGCATCCTGAGTGGAGCCCTTTTTATCCTGTTTCAGCGAATGGTTGCCATTCACTTCTGTGGGGAAAGCTAAGGCCCTGGCCTCGTGGGTGCTCTTGCTGAAGAGAGGGAAGCCTGACAGAGACGCTGCGAGGAGAGACAACGTTCAGGTCACAGAGAGAAATACCTTCTTTTCCGGGAGCCCCCTCAAGTCCTTCCATTGACCACAATGCATATAAACAAGGAAAGCAAAGAACCCCGTCCACCATTTTTACATAATCTTCATCATAAACACAAAACAACCCTCCAGTTATTTAACTGTCGTTTTCATCAACAAACTCTGTTTAAGACGTGGGAGCTTATAAGCCTGCATTAACATGTTGCCTCTTGGCATGCAGCCTCACATTTCTGCTCGATAAATTATGAAATAAACCTAGATTTATGCTACAAGGATTTGGGTTGCTACAAGACAGGAAAGCCAACAGCGCCACCTTCAGGCTGAGCTACAAAAGGTGCCTCTCTATGTTGTGTGTGGCAGCTATTTCACCCCAGTGCAGCTTCTAGCAATATTTATTTAAGAAACTACTATCCATATAAGTTCAAAGCAAAAATACAGAAGGACTCTTGTTATGTGACCATCACCAAGATAACTAGTCCAACTCTTGCAATGTGCACAAAATAGCAGCCTGGTCTGCCCAGATACCACCAGCAGTAGCAGCGACAACGCTAGTAGGAATAGTCACATTCAGCAGATATGTGCATCACTTACACTGAAGCCTCTTAGGGAGGGTTACTGTTTCATTCTCGTTCTTGTCTTTATTGTGTGTTTTGTGTTTTTATCTTGTATTTTTATGCTGTGGACCGCCCTGAGATCTATGGCTGAAGTGTGGTATACACAATTAATTAAGAATACACACACACACACACACACACACACACACATATATATATATATATATATACAGCATAAAAATACAAATTAAAATACAATTGCTTCTCAATAGCTAACCCCACCATCATCCTCAGGCTGGATGACCAATGAACAGAAGTGATTGGAGGTTTATCGCGGCAACATCTAGACAGCCACAGGTTTTCCTTCTCTAGATAATTGCAGATCAACATGCAGCTTCTTGTGTTGTTTTTGTTCACTAACAATATTACGACAATTTAGGAAAGAGACACACATGCTTGAGCTTCTTCAGCTTTGCCTGTGTACTCTATACATTCACTTGGTGGCACTGAACAGAAAAATATCGTTTTTCAAACAGGGGAGGCAAAAAGTATCATTTGATTTGATATTGTGATTTCATTTTTATATCTTTAATTTGCTTGTAAGATGCCTTGTAGGATTTGTAACCCTAAAGGCTAGGTGTATATAATGTATAAATAAATAAAAATTAATAAAGGATGCAATAAGCCAATGTTTATTGATTATTCCCTTGAGTTCAATAATAATAGGAGAACTTTTTCCTCACCCACAGTGATGCCATCCATGTAGCGCTTGATGATGTCAAAGGAATCCCGTAGATTTCCTTCGGTGATGTCAAATATGATGTCTGCCTGGTTGCCTGGGTATGCTGGCGTGATGGCACGAAGGAAAATAATCTCTGAGGGGAAAGATATCGGAAGTAAGCTAAAAATGGCAACAATAAAATGTTTAAATCAGTGCAGTGCAACCTATTCAGCAATTGCAAATCAGAAAAGTTAAAGCAGAGAAATAAGAAAGCAAGATTATACTTCAGGTTGTCTTATCCTTCATGAGACTTACAGAAAAGTCTTGCTGGGGTGGAAGGGCAGGAGCTGCATTGGCCAGTGACTTAATACTGCAAGAGGAGTACTAAGAACCTAGAATGACAGACCCTCATCCTGCAGCCTAGAACAGGGCTCAGCAACCTTTTTCAGCCGTGGGTCGCTCCACCGTCCCTCAGACCTTGTGGGGGGGCCGGACTATATTTGGGGGTGGGGGGATGAACGAATTCCTATGTGCCGCAAATAACCCAGAGATGCATTTTAAATAAAAGGACACATTCTACTCCTGTAAAAACACGCTGATTCCTGGACCGTCCGTAGGCTGGATTGAGAAGGTGATTGGGCCACATCCGGCCCCCGGGCCTTAGGTTGCCTACCCCTGGCCTAGAACCTACACAGGTGTGTTAATTAATTCCCTCCCTCCCATCATCTGCAACTCTGCAGAATCATCTTGCCCTGAGGGGAGGAGAGAAAAAGCCATTACAGCCTCTTCATTGTCTTTTCAATTTTATTGTGTTTTTTGTAAAACAACAACTTCATTTTTTGAACAACTACAACAACATTTTTTCCATTTCATTGATACTTATTGTAATAATATTATGTAAATCGCTTTTTGAAGTCGGCCTGAAAAGGAGTACAGTATATTAATACCTGAAATATAATAAAACTATAAAAGGAAGCAATTTAGGCATAGGTCCCCTGCTATATGACTGCTGTGCTACGTTCCAGCAGCATGGACATGGGGGGGGGGGGACCTAGCAATGGGTCTGGAGGTCCTGGGCTGCCCAGATGACAAGAGCTTCTCAGCCTTGCTATGCATTCGGCTCTTAGCAATTCTTTCTGTAGGTGGAGCTTCTGGGATGTTTATCTCATAGGCTGCTTCTACAGAGTGAGGGGAAGCGTTTACCTTCAGGCCTCGTGAAATCCCTGAATGTGGGCAATGAAATGACCGTGTGGGAAATGGTGTGAACTGGATCTAACATGCAGTTGACGTCATTCGGTCGGCAGGACTTAATGCAGCGAACAGTGTCTGTCTTCTCATGTCTTACTCTGAGGGAGAGAAGGGAAAGACAAATATGGAACATTAATTCAGTTGTGTCACATTGCAAGGATCAAACAAGCAAGGTGCAGTAAAGATGGAAATTCTTATTTTAGATCCTGATCTCACTGTGAAACACTATGCGTATGTATATTTTTCCTAGCCTCTGGGGTCTGATCTATGACATCCATCTTACACTGGACTAATTCTAAAGGCAACTTGGGTAGATCCAACTACCACTGGGTCAGAAAAGCTACAAGTCACAAAAATTGTTTAAAGAAATTGCCCTGGACAGTCAAGTCCAATGACCACCTTGACAGCTTCTTGACCCTGCCCCAGAATCCAGGCTTTGACCTGATATGCCCCACCCCCCCTTGTCCTGCCTGCGTAGCAGAATTTTTGAAATCTGAAGTTGGCAACTTCCACCAGTAGGACTGGACGGTTTATGAAGATCTGCAGTTTGGTGAAGACCAAGGTAGAGGTGATCGGCTTTGCTATGTTCAAGTAATGAGTTTGTGGACTGGGAACTCTTTTGACACTTTATGCTATCATAACTCCCTGATCCCTTGCGAGAAGGTGAACTATAAAATAGAAATAGAATAAAGCTATGTATAGAACTGTCTAATTATGGAACAAAAACAAAAATTGACTGAAACAATTTTCCTACATTTTCTGCTCAGAATGGTTTCAGTGTTTTGGACTTGGCAACAGTCATCCTTGGACCAGTGGCAAGATGAGAGTAAGATAGCATCTTGTTATTTATTGAAGCTGAAAAAAATGGTCATGGCTGAATACCAGCAGGAAGCAATCATTTCTTCAAAGGATCCATAACTAAAGTTTGGGGGAAAGGTTGGAGTTGGAACCAAGCTGAAGATGTGAAATGAAATTGTGCTTTTACCGGGAAGGGGGGGGGGCTTCTGAGGTTGCTATGGGGTTTTAGTTGCAGATTTTATCTAACTCCTTTGTGTACAAGTTGAACTCTTTCCAGGTAATGTTGTGGGTAGCATAAGAATATTACAACTGAGCAGGTGTTAGCAGGGAGCCAAGAAGAATGGATTGGCTGCATGACTAATATGCAACCATTTCATTTAAATTTCCATTCCCACACCAGCACCATCAGAACAGATCTTTTTAAAAATGTTGCCAGCATTATTCATCCATAACCTAAAGCCAATTTGTCCAAAAAACTACTTAGGGTGGATTCTCATTAACAATTTTTTAACTGGATTCAAGGCACATCCACTCCCAACCCCCCAAAGGTTTTATGCTATATTGAACAAGTTTTGCAGTCAACTGCTCAACACTTGCTCAATCCGAACAATCCAAATCCAGTTGGCAGCCAAAAATAAACAAATCCAGTATAGCTTGAACTGGGTTTGCAAGAAACAAATAGAAGGTGGCCGTACCATACGCTCCAAGTGTTCTGGAATTACAAAAGCCATCCTGGCTTCTGATTTAATCCCAGGAGGTGGCTATTTCCTCTCCCTTGGGCATCTCAAAGTGACTGCTGGAAAGCGGGAGAGGAGGACGGGAGAAGCTGCTGCTCCAAGGCCAGCTCTGAGGGGCAGGCAGAGGGCAGGGAGTAAGGGGGAGCTGAGCACAAGGATCCTTGCTTTAAAAAATGCTTTGTGCATCTGCACCTAATTTTGCCCCTTTCTAAAATGTATTTATTAGTGTGTGTTTTTCTTTTTTGTAAATTTACCAAAGAATAAAATAAAACCGTTGCCGTAGTGGTGGTGGAAATGCTCTGCAGGGGGGCACAAACAATGGGGGGGTGGGGGGGTCAGTGGGAGGGAGGGAGAAATGTCCCTATTTTCATCTGGGGAGTGTTGGAGGGTATGCAGTAAGTGGAAGAAGCAAGGGTTGAGGGGGCCTCGTGTGGAGAAGCCAGAGCCCAACCTAGTGAAATGGTGTAGCGTATGAGGCTGCTAACTTAGCCCTTCCTTTTGGACCAGAAAGGGAAAAGGATATGCCACATCAGCCCCTGTATAGCAGGCAATCTTCAACCTCTGTGCTGGCCAGGCCTGGTGTAAACACGTAAGAACGTAAGAGCCTGGCTGCTGGATCAGGCCCCTTTAGTCCAGCATCCTGGTCTCACAGTGGCCAAGACAGATGCCTGTGCAAAGCCCATTTGCAATACAGTGGTACCTCGAGTTACAAACGCCTCAGGTTACAAACACTTCACGTTACAAACTCCGCTAATCTGGAAGAGTTACCTCAAGGTGAGAACTTTGCCCCAGGATGAGAACGGAAATCATGTGCCAGTGGCGCAGCAGCAGCAAGAGGCCCCATTAGCAAAAGCACACCTCTCGTTAAGAACAGTTTCAGGTTAAGGACCGACCTCCAGAACAAATTAAGTTCATAACTAGAGGTACCACTGTACATTAATGTCTTCACATGTTCCACACCATTTGGAAGCCCCCTGCCCCCAGCGCAGCCCTCAAGGCAAGCAGCCATGGATAGGCTTTTCCTCCATGGTTCTGTCTCCCTCCCTTTTAAATCAGTGGCAGCACCTTCCAGTCCATGCACTGGGGTGGGGGGTGGGGGGAGGCTCCCTTTGTTTGCCTTGATTTTCCCTATATATTCAGCTTCTTTGGATTACCTGCTATTTTTAGAGGAAAGAAAGTTCTCCCCGTGAGGATTGCTTAAGAGACTTCTAAGCTGCCTTCCCCAAGTGGAATGTGGCATGAAAGCATTTTAAAACAAACTGCAAAATTACAATTAAAATAATAAGGAACCACTTCACACACCTCAGCCGCTTGGCACCTCCTTACAGAGGAGATCCAGTTATGCAGATAGGCTTCCTCTTCTACTCCAGCAATGTACAAATGGACCTTGTCCTTCTTCCTCTAAAGGCATGGTCCAATCTTGATTTTAATATTTTCTATTTTGGAACATGGCACATTCCAATATTTTTCTTTCCTGTTCTAAACTTCTGCTTGCTACTTTGGGGGGGGGTATCTTTTCCATTTAATTTGTTAAATCAAGCAAGGAATCATGTTTTCATTCTCATCCAGACAGACCCCCCAATGGTGCTATATAATTATGTCTATTTAAATGTTCCAGTTAGATGCAACATAGAATTATCCATCTAATATGATTTAATCTGGACTGCAGTATGTTTTTAAAGGCAACTAGATTAATATATGCACTCAGTAATATACTAGAATGCAGCAGAATTTTGCAAGGCAATGGGCCAAAGTCTTGCGTTCCTCATTTTGTAGCTCAAATAAGGCTTTGTTTAAAGATTTAGAAGCCAATCTAAGCTTTAGTTTTTGCTACTGGCTTGCTGAGGCATCGTGTACAGTTGACCGTGCAATGAACCTGTAACCACATATCCATGGATGCACATTGTCCTTGGAGCTAAAGGGCCTGTATTTGCAAAGGACTGTGCAGTCACCAATGAGCTTTGGCCAGCTCTGGCTGCCTGACAAGTATGCTAGACATGTTTGTAGATGCATCTGTTGCAATGGCTAAAAATGTTTATGCATACAACTAAAAAAGTAGGCAGAGAGGAATTATTTAGGGTGTGTGAGAGAGAGGGGGGAAGGGAAGGAGGGAGAGAATATTGAGAGTTTGTGAGATGTGGTGCCATGTGCCTGAGGATTATCTGGCATCATACAACATATGCATCCCATGAAATCACATAAATATGGTGGGAAGCAAAGGGCAGCAGGCAGCAACAGTGAAGCAGAAGCAACACAAGAACGAGGCCAGGCAAGCCCCCCTCTTTTTTCTTCCACCCAAACTCTTTGGCTTGTAATCCTGTCTATGATTCGCAGCCGCTCTCTGGACCGTTGCCAGCAAGGTGGGAGCTGGAACAGAAGAGAAACAGAAGCAGCCAGGCTGGGGCTGAGGCAGCAGTTTACCTCCCTGGCATGTTTCTGGCTGCTCACGGGATCAGAGGGCAGAGTCTCTGTGATGCACATAGATATGTAATATTTATTTAACAGGATTTATATGCTACTTAATCATCAAAACCTCTAAGCAGTTTACATAAAATATACTTAAAAATTATCAGTCAACTCATATGTTGAAAACAAGCTGACCTAAAATATTTCAAAATATAGAAGTAAAAAATAAAATTATGAAATAAAATTACACATTAAAATACATGCCAAATTTGCATGTCTGGGTAGACTTGCCTAAACAAAACAAAAATTCTGCCAGGTGCTGGGGGCGGGGATTAAGTGAAGGCACCTGCTTAACATCAATTAGCAGAGAGTTTCACAGTGCAGGTGCTGCCACACTGAAGGATTACCGTAAGTGGAGAATAAACATTATGTAGCATTTGCAAAGTGGTCATTTCTGCAGACACAAGCAACTGAGTGCATATAGTATAGTCTGCTCTCCTCTGAATTGTGGGTGCACTTCACAGAGATGTACATCCAACTTCATTCTCTTATGCTTTTCAATACTTTTCAGGACACTTTGATAGAACTTTTCTTCCGAACTTTGGCCAAAGTAGTCCTCTTGGTCCACACTGAAGATGTCCAGTTTAATGTACGGTCCTGATTTGGCCCAAATAACAGAAGTGTTTGAATTTAGCTGAGACATCTACATGGCTCTGTCAATGCAGCCTGGAGATACATACAGAATGTACTGAAGTTAATGGGAATTGTTTAACAATAGCATTTATAACTGAAAGGTTTTCAGGGCAGTATGGTGAAAACTCAAAAACTGCAGTCCAGTTAACATCATTCAAAGAGTATATGTCATCGAACTGCATGATGTCCTCTCCCACTATATAGCTTTGATTTCTTTGGCACATGGGATATCCTGACTATAGTGCACATAACTTTGTAGGATCTAGCCTGTGGAAATATTGAAAACATCCCCCTTTAAGGATGTACAACAAGTCCTAAAACATTAGTGGATTTGGATGTGTGCAGACATAAATCGAACAGTGCCAACCCATTGGACATGCTTTGAAGCACTTGCTAGATGAACGGTTACATTTGATGGGGCACAGCCAGGTGTGCAAAAGGTCCAAGAATTGCCAGTAAGTTAGATATTATGCATAAATGATAAAAGCTGGGTGCGTTATCCTTGGCAAAAAAGTTCTCTTCTTAAGAAATGTGCAGAATATTCAGGAAAGTTTTCCGTCACACCTGTGCCCTGCATGAATCACTTTGATTCCATCAAAGCTTCTGCATAGTTTTTTTCCTTATGTTGTGGTAATTATAAATAGGAAACGATATGTTCTGTTTGAAGGTGGATTCCAATCAGATTTTAGCATTTCACCTTAGGCAATGTCAGCCATAGGATTTAAAGGGGACTTAAAATAATTCAGGAACAGATTTTGACTACTTTGGGAGATTTCACCCAGCACCCTAATAGTCTCTGTCAAGATCAGGCTCATCGGCTGCCCCCAAGAGTGTAACTGGGGCAGCAGAGAAAGCCCAGTTACTTCATGCAGGACAAAAGTCCATGGAAGCCTTTAACACTCCTGCATGTGCCATGATGAACTCTGGATTGCCCTACGGCATTTTAACTATAGTTCCCACACCTGATTCTTTCTGTGGAATTGGTCCCTAATTGTTATTTATGGGGTGCGCTTAACAAGTCTACTCAATCTAGAAATGACACACACTTCTGAACTTCTCCAGTCCTGACTTACAGTCAAAGTCAACAACTCATTTTCAGCTTAGTAAAGACTGAAAGGTCAGCAATGCTGGATTTGCCAACTGACATCCTCCCACCCAGGATGAGACACTGGTAAAGTTTACACAGAGAGAGAGAGGAAGAGAGCACGCAAGCCCCATGCCTTAGCTACTCATTCTCCTTTGCCTGTGTCTTGGGAAACTGGCTGAGGAACAGTGTGGCTAAGAGCTCTTTGCCTATGTCTTCGTTGGTGCTGAAGTGGTTAAATACAAGAGAGAATGGTTGCTTTTTCCATGGGGGCATGGAGAACAGGGGCAAAGGGGGGGGCTGCCAGGGCAATGGACCCAGGCACTTTTTTAAGGGGGCACTGCGCATTTGGCTCCTCTTGCCATCCTGCCAGCCCTGCAGCGCTTTGCAAGGCTGGAATCTGATCCGAATGACTGCGATCCCAGCCTCCCAAAGCGGTGCAGGGCTGGCAGGGCAGCGTGAGAAGGATGCAAGTCCCAGTCTCACCCTCGCTTTGCCTCACCCGGCGTGGCGGACTCCGTTCACCCACCCACACACCCTGCCCCAGCCCCCTGGCATAAATGGGCACTCATTCTGCTGGTGGAGAATGAAATAGCCCTTTGCTTGTGGCTTGGCTGTTACAGCAGAAAGCAGCTGAAGTGCCCCACTAAAAGGGGAATGCAGGGAGTTGGGCACGCAGGATCTGAGCCCCCCACCCCTGACACCAGCCCAACTGCTTGTTGCCTATCCCTGTCTTCAGCATCTATCAGCAAAAGCTGACTTATAGGCAGAGCTCATCAAAATGAGAAGCAAACAGGAAAACTGGAATGTTAAAAATGCTAAGGCAAAATGAGTGGTGACAAATAAAATGCAAATGCACAGCATGCAGGAAGTGATTTACCACTTAAACTTTATTTTTTTTTAAATGGTAAGAAGGGAACCAGTGTCAAAAAAGAGAGAAAGGGAGCGGAGGAGAAACTGCAATGGGTGCCAGCATGCAAGGAATCAAAGCTGTGCAGAGACAAAGACAAACAGCTTGGCTATGAAGGTGGAGACAGTTCCATGGCGGAAGAGTTGCATCTGAATCGTCAGAAGAAGATCTCTGGGCTCTGTGATCGGCTGCTGCATGGACACTACGTGGCTGTGGCTGCTGACTTTTTTGGTGGTGAAAAAGCCCTCCTCATTCCCGCTGATGATGGAGAGCTGAATTTTATCCCCCGGGACAGCACTGGTGGGGCCCATGCGGAAAATATCAATGGGAACTTGAATGTTGGTAGGAAAAGAGAGGTGATAAGAAGTTATTCTCAAGGGCAGGCTCTGGCATTCCATATTTTCGTGACAAGGCAAGCGGTCGCAACGACTGCAAGAAAAGTGAAAAGACAAGGGAGGAGGATTAGCAACCATTCCGTGAGGAGGAAAGGAAAGGAAAGCAGAGAAGCCAAGCGTATCTTGACTTGTAACCTACTGGCCCATGAAACGAAGGAGGAATCGTAGCTCAGTGGCAGAGCTTTACGCAACAGAGCTGGCATGGCCTAATAAGCAGGGCAGAGCGAGCCAAATTCCACTGGCTCCAGGCCAACTATGAAATCCCTCATTGGGCTATGCTGAACCCCTTCCCTCTCAATGTGTTCTGAAGCGGGGTGTTCCATTTTCCTTGACTGCAGCCCCCTTTCCTTCATTCCACAGGTAAATTGAGAGTATGTCTTATCAGGTATTTGGAGAAAAGCAAAAGAGCCTTCAATCCGGGAAACCCCCCAAGCATGGGCGTAGCCAGGATTTTTGTTAGGGGGGGCAGGCCTTTTGTTGGGGGGAGCAGACCTTTTGTTAGGGGGGCAGAACTTCAGTTAGCTATATTGATTCTTACTGATTTGGGGGGGCAGCTGCCCCTTCCTGCCCCCCCCCCCGGCTATGCCCATGCCCCCCAAGGATGAAGCACGGATCTCTCTCTATATAAATAAAATAGGTGCAGGTCTCCCCACATCTGCAGCCACACTCTCACTTTCAGGAAACAGATACAAATATTATATTACATAGTGAATTATCTGGAAGACTGTTTGATGTCTTTTCCTCACCACAGAGCAGCTGCTGACTAGCCCTACGCACTTAATTCTACTTGCGGGAATCAATCTCGGTCTGGGCTGTAGCATGTCAGACATACTTGAATCTCAGCTTCCCAATAAAAGAATAACAAATCAATCTGCGTATAAAGCTAGACACCAAAGCTTAGTGTTATAGGCTATCTATCATCCCCCCTCACATGCTAGATTTGTATGTGAAGGAATTTCTCTTTTTTTCTGCATACTGGAACATTCAGTCGTGCATTCTGAAGTTGTATGGCCACAAATCCTGTTTGCCACTCCAATGAGAATCAGGCCACAGAATGAAAGAGAGGGCTTTCTTCCAGGTCAAATGGTGGACTGCTTATGGAGGCCTAAGATTGGGCAATATTTTTGGGGAAATAAAACTGCCTTGACAGCATTGCGAGAACATGATACAATTTTTAAAAACACAACTATAAAATGTATAGCTTATGGGGCAGCTTCTGTCCACCTCTCCCCACCCCCCACCCCCCACCGTATATAGTGATTAACTCCCAGAGAAATGGGTAGTAATCCTCATTGCAACTGTGAAATAGCTCAAATGATTCTGCTTTTAAACAAATCTCCTCTCTTCCTTTGCCCATGTAGCCAGACTTTGGTGATGGGACCATGCAATGCAGATGCTTCTGGGAATCCCCATACCATATTTCTGAATACGCCCCATGCTGTCCTTTTCCTGTGATTTAGAATAATGCTGGAAAGCAAAAATAGTGGGAAATGTAGAATGAAATTCTGCTGATTCTGAAATATATTGTTGGAAGCAGATTTGCCTGTGGCGAATTAGAATTGTTTAGAAATCATCAATCTCCTTATCTTATTGTTTGGTACCCCATATATTCACCACACACTTCATTGTGGGTTTACTTAAATGTGCGCTAATGGTTCCATCCTGTAGCCACAAAGAGATCTGGCAAATACTGCTGGTTTCAAAGACCAAAGTTCAGGCCTAGGTCGTGCACCATAATGACTATAAGCAGCTAGCTCTGAAAGACCAACCTGGCCTCTGGCTTGCATGGGCAGAGGTGAAGTGTGCCGTGGGGACATGTGACCTCAATACTGGGGCCCAGCACACTGAAGCTCCTGAGCGGAGTCCAAACCCACAACATTCTCCTAGCCTAGCATGCTGCTATTCCATGGGTTGTCTGTAGGTGTCACTGTAGATCTTTTCCAAGAGGGGGAAACAAATGCTGAGCTAAAAAGGCAGGATAGGATTTCATGCATCACACTACAGTGGTACCTCGGGTTAAGTACTCAATTCGTTCCGGAGGTACGTTCTTAACCTGAATCTGTTCTTAACCTGAAGCACCACTTTAGCTAATGGGGCCTCCTGCTGCTGCCACGCCGCCAGAGCACGATTTCTATTCTCATCCTGAAGCAAAGTTCTTAACCCAAGTTACTATTTCTGGGTTAGCGAAGTCCGTAACCTGAAGCGTATGTAACATGAAGCGTATGTAACCTGAGGTACCAGTTCCATAGCTGTCAACTTTTCCCTTTTTTTGCGAGGAATCCTATTCAGAATAAGGGAATTTTCCTTTAAAAAAGGGAAACGTTGACAGCTATGAATAGTTCTAAAGAGGTCTTTGCAACCTCATCAGCCTTGTGTTGTAGTGTTAATTACAGAAACTTGAAAAATAAATGTTAGTGCAAAAAAAAATACTCTTGGGTTTCATTTCTGATCATTTAGCTTACCATTTGGGGTTGGTTAAAAAAAAAAATAACAACACTCCCTCCCCCCCCCCCTCAATCAATGATTATACTTGGCTTGATTCCAAGCCACAGAGCATTAATGTTCTTTTTTAAAATGTTAAATATTGGGTCATTTATAAAGAACAAAAATTAACCAAAAATGCAAAATTCCTTGTTCTTTAGAGAGAGCACAAATTTAGCACTGTTGAAGTTTATTGTTTGTGAGCTGAGTCAGTGTTTTAATGGCAGACCAGTGAGAGCCTGGTGTATTAAGTACCTTGAAGTCTTATGAGGAACAGAAAATACTATAAAAGGTAAGGTAAAGATAAAAGACCCCTGGATGGTTAAGTCCAGTCAAAGGCGACTGGGGTTGCAGTGCTCATCTCACTTTCAGGCCGAGGGAGCCGGCGTTTGTCCACAGACAGCTTTCCAGGTTGTGTGGCTTGCATGACTAAACTGCTTCTGGTGCAACAAAACACCGTGACAGAAACCAGAGTGCACAGAAACGCCGTTTACCTTCCCGCCGGAGTGGTACCTATTTATCTACTTGCACTTTGACATGCTTTCAAACTGCTAGGTTGGCAGGAGCTGGGACAGAGCAATGGGAGCTCACCCACCCCGTAGCGGGGATTCAAACTGCTGACCTTCTGATCGGGAAGCCCAAGAGGCTCAGTGGTTTAGACCACTGTGCCAAAGTCATCTTTAGATAAACTTACCTCATTTGTCTCCCTACAACCATAGTAATCAGAAATGGCAGGCAAGTTCCACAAATTTTCCACACACACACACACCCAAACCCCCACATGCTTCTCCTGACATTTTAGGTGGTGCAGAAGGAAGCAAAAGTATTAGTGCTGCTGCCCCCTGCTCCAGTCACACGCACACATCAAGGGCTGCCCTCCTTTGGTCAGGCATTCCTACAGCATTTCGTAATTGGCCTCTCAGCATCCCTGACTGCTGCTGCTGCTCTCAGTGTCTTTCTTATCTCAAAATGAATGCCTTCTTCCCCTCAACCATGGCATGACTTGGCCAATCAGACTGAGGTGTGTGAGTAAGTTACTGGAGCAGGGGTGCCAGCTCTTGGGAGCAGAGCCCTTTGGGTCCCCCAAATATTTTGGAGGTGGGGGCCGGGGGCTCCAGGTTGGCTTAGGTGAAAGGCACATGGATCAGGCACATGGATCAGGCCCCTCAGGGGATCCATGGGGACTTTGGATCCAGTGGTTCAGGGCTTTGTGCTGTTCAGTAACTTTCTAGTTGTTTGCTTGACATTGGGCATTCCACCTCAACTTGTTGTCTCTTCCATGCAGCCAGGGGGCTGCACGCCTTCACTCAGTGAACTGCACCACACAACTGGCAAAGCTCATTGAATAAACCCGAGTGCATTCTATACATATCCAGTCCCAGGGTTTTCCTAGCGGGCAAGAAATGAAGGGTTTGTGTATCACTCCCATGCCTTGCTTACTCTCAATACCCATCATTGTTAACCTTTTCTTAGCAAACAGCTTTTGAATTAAATGTTTAGAAGCAGGCAGCTACAATCAGACAAGTATATTATACTGGCAAAAGCTTACTTCGGTGGGCATAACAGATGGACTACATATGTCATCTTCATATCCATTGTTTCTCATGCCAGTCTATGACCCAGGATTGCAATTTTATCTCAGTTTAAGAAGCATGTTGTTAAGCTACAGAATTCACTACCACGACAGAGTGTCATTCATCAATGGGAACATAAAGGGAGGCTGCTCATTGTGTGGCTTAGTTGGTCAGGTTTGGTACTAGCACTGTTGTATAAGTCGTAATTTAAGATCCATCAATACCTTTGCTACAGAAGCTAAAACACTTTCACATTGTCTAGGTAATATTGGAAAACCCAATTCTTTATTCTAATCATTTCTTAAAATCTTCATATCAAACTTATTTGTTAGTAACAAATTTCTGTTCCAGTGATCACTGTTTTTTAGTTTCAAAAAGTTTGTTCAGTTGTTCAAATATCTCTGGTGTCTCAGAAGCTGAGAAAGCCACCGGTCTAAACAAGGCTATTACAAGACATTGTAGCTGCAGATATTGCTGTTTGGCTGCATCTGATACATGTAATTTATTTCTTAAAGCAGTATACATATAGAATTCAGCCTCCTTGTGTATTTTTCTGAATTATATGCTTATTGTATTGTAACAATCAGACAATGAAAATGGATTCTACATGCCCTAACTATGGCCAATAATATGGTATATCATTTTGATGTGGACTGTGCCGTGTGAGTGTTGTGCAAAATTAGCCAGGTATGAGCAGATAAACTGCCATGTAGAAGTGCCTGGAAGAATAGCGATATGATCCCCTTATCCAAAGGACTGAAAACAAGACAACACTCATATCATATGAACAGATTGCTTATAGATGCAGACTTTGTTTGGATGAATATTTGGAATGAGTCTATGCAGAATATAGCAGATGATTAATAATCATATATATGTAAGGACAATAACATTACTTATGTATCTATATAATTATGTATGGAAGTGTAATTGTTTATATTCAGTGTATTACATTATATCTTTTTTCTTATTGTATTTTTATTTGCATTTGCATTTTTTCTCCTTTTTTCTTTTCTTTCTTTCCTCACTTTGATGATGATGATGGGGACTAGTACAGGCTGCCTAATGAAAGAAAGAAATGTACTTACGTATCTCCAGATTTGCGATAATTTTCTGGGCATTCCAGGGAAAGGCAGCGAAAACCACCCTGAATATTAAAGCAGGTCTCATTGTATGAGCAACTATGTGTTTCTGTAACACACTCATCAATATCTGTAAAAGCAGGAGAGGAGGACAGAGGATGCTTATTGTGGGGGTATAGATTTGGCAGTGATGAAGTTTGCTCTGTGCCTCAGCTGGACTACTTCACACAAGATTGGACAACCCTCCGCCTAGAAAGCTAGCCTATCGGAGAGATGGGGCATAAACCTCCATAGACTAGATGCATGAAAAGCTCTCTTTAGTTGCCGGTTTAAATATAGGTGAGTGTGGAGGGGGAAAGAAAAAGAAATACAAGCAGGGTGGTCAGCAGTCTGAGATTATTCCGCAGTGATCATCCACAACAGTAGGGTTGCCCTACGTCATACAGATTTCCCCAGAGATATGTGGAATACTGCAGCCAGTAGCAGTGTCCAGGAGGAAATCGGGGAAATGTTGGGGGAAATCTGAACGTATGGCAGCCTATTGTCAACGGTGCCGCTTTTCCTTAAAAATAGCTCAAAAACAGCATTTTCCCCCCTCAACAACTTTTCTGTCTGGATATGGAAACCCTACACAACAGGGATAATACAAACATCTTAGATTTGTTGTGCTATTTAACATCTGTCACCCGCTCCCTCCAAAGAGGGACAGATCTCAAGCTGAGATCGTTATAACAACATTGTGCATTAGTCATACACAAAAAAACCCTGCCAGTTTTGAGATACCCTTAAGAAGAAGACATGAAGTTTCTGAATTCAGGAGGCCGGTGAAGAAGCATTTAGAGAACGAACTTTGGGAATGACTTGTCAAATGTGTTGTCAAATGCATTCGATCAGAAGTACTTTCTTTGTAACAGAACATGACAAAAGAATTCTGCTTTCTCTAGACCACAAGCGGGGCTCTTCTTTCTTATGAATGTCACACTTGCACATCATTATGCTTTAAACATACCTTGACAGTTTCGTGCATTGGGGGCCACTTTGTAACCGGAGGAGGGGCAAGTACACTGAAAACTCCCCGGAACATTAATGCATCGATAGGCACAGATATGTCCTCCAGTGGGCAAGGCACATTCATCAATATCTGAAAAGCATATTCACCAATTAGCAAGTACAAGAGGGACTGTTTACTGCCTTGTTGCTCAACTTTTACGCCTCTACAGAATGGATGATATAACGCTTGAGTACACATTACATTTTACCTAGCTAAACGATGGGTAAATTGGATCTTAGACTTCCATGGAAACAATCCTGATCCCCGCTCCCCTCAAAATTCCAAGGTAATCAATTCAGCAAGCTTCAGCAGTTTCTAGGAGAACGCTTCTGGAAGAATAGCAAAAACTGGAATTCACTCCCATTACTGGATGGCTTTAAAAGAGAATCAGACAAATCCATGACTACTGGCCCTGGCAGATAGGTTCTCTCTCCCGTGTCAGAGGCAGTATGCATTCAATACCAGCTGCTAAGTATCCCAAATTCGGGAGAGGGATGATCTAGTCTCGTAGTCCTGCTGGCAGGCTTCCCATGGCATCTGGCTGGTCACTATGACAGCAGGATGTTGGACTAGATGGGCCTATGGCCTGATCCAGCATGACTCTTCCTATGTTCTTAAAAACCTTCAGGTGCCCACGTGAGGGAGTGAGGCCTCCACAGAAGACTCCCCTGCCTGAACCCTCAGGGAGCTGCTGCCAGTCACTCTGGGATAGATGGACCAATGGTCTTCATTAGAACAGTGCAGCTTCCATATGTTAATATGAGCCGTGTGCATAATGATTGCTACCCACCTTCACAGGTGATGCCATCTATGTCACTCAGCTGGTAGCCCCGACGACAGTAGCACTGATAAGAACCATATACATTAGCACACTCCTGGCTGCAGGGATTACTTTCACATTCATTCAAGTCTGAAACCAACAAAAACGCATTAATGCAAAGCAATATTTTTTACCTTATTTGTCAGCAACCGTATGAATGGTTGAGCAGCTGAATTAATTTAATTCCATTCCTTTCATATCCTGGCTTTCATCCAAGGAGTTCAAGACACCACAAAATGGCTCATCCATTTTTATCCTCAGTGATTGGCCCAAGGTCATCCAGTGAGCTTCATGGCTAAGCGAGATTCATTGCTTGAATCCAGGTCTCTCCAGTCCTGGCCTGATAGGCTAACCATTCCTTCACACTCACACTATAGGGCTGCAATTCTATACACCACACCAGAATTTCCCAAGGTGGTCAGTATTAATCCCCTGAGGTCAATGAGGCTGTGCAGGGGGGTGAATAAAGAGTTAGGGGTCAAAAGGGAGGAAAGGGTGGGAAAAGTAGCTTACAAAATACAGTGTGATAAAATGAATTAGAAACTATGAGCCTCAGAAATAAAGGGTGTGGGCATGTACAGAGTGCGCATCCTTTAACAGTGAGGAACTTCTGTATTTAATAAGGTTATTCCACAATCCAACAGTATTCCTTACATTTTGTATTTTATGATTCCTAGTAATGGTGACTGACTAATAATAAATGTTGATTATATATCAATATTTCTTGACTTAACTTTATCTACATTCCTAAGAATTTGGATTGGGGTTGCTGATAACCTCATGAAGAGACCAATAAACTCAGACATTTGGGAAACCCTGCTGAACACGTGCCCAGGAGTAAGCTCTACTGAACCCAGTGGAATGTGCTTTGGGGTAGGCAAGGATACGATTGCACTGTCAATGTTACCTTCACATGACCGCCCGTCAGTTGAAAGTTTGAAGCCCATCGTGCAGCTGCAGTAATAAGAGCCAGCAGTGTTTTCACATTTGTGAGCACATAGGTGACCGGGGTATCGTCGGCATTCATTAATATCTACGGAAATAAACATGTCATTCAGAAGATTTCAAGAAAAGCATATAAATCAGAGAGTTCACAAAAACATTTTAGTCAATTTCTGAATGATTCACACTTCACTATAACTTTGGCTTGAGCACATTATTCTATCTTAGACCCAATTCATATTGTAGCAAGTCAGTGTGGTAACTGCTGAAAAGTTGTATCCTAATATCAGAGCCAGGATCTTCACTGGCTCCCAGTATGTTTCCGAGCACATTTCAAAGCATTGGTGCTGACCTTTGAAGCCCTAAACGGCCTCAGCCCAGTATACCTGAAGGAGTGTCTCCACCCCCATTGAACACAGAGATCTAGCTCCAAGAGTCTTCTGCTGGTTCCCTCACTGCAAGAAGTGAAGTTACAAGGAACCAGGCAGAGGGCCTTCTCGGCAGTATGGCGTCCTCCCTGTGGAATGCCCTCCCATCAAATGTCAAGGACATAAAGAGGTACACAACTATTAGAAGACATCTGAAGGCAGCCCTGCATCGGGAGGTTTTTAATGTTTGATGTTTTACTATGTTTTATATGTGCTGTAAGCTGCCCAGAGTGGCTGAGGAAACCCAGCCAGATGGGTGGGGTATAAATAATAAAATGTATTGTCGTTGTTGATGGTGATGGCGTTGTCTCCATTGTTGTTCTATGTTATTTCTGTTATTTTTGTTTATGCTGCTGTTTACTTTGTAATGCTATTTCAACTGTTTTTAGAAACATGTAGTGGTGTGTTCTAATGTGGTGTATGCCTTCCTGTGACTTTGTGGTGAAGTGTGGCATAGGAATACCCAAATAAAGCAAAATACTATTGATTTATCTTTTTTTTTTAAGGGTTAGATGGCTGAACTAAAGGAAGGGCATGAGCCAACGCATGTCCTGTCACTTACCAGCGCAGGTTCTACTGATTCCCTCAAAATAGTAGCCAGCTCGGCATTCACAGCGGTAGCTTCCAGGGGAATTGGCACAGGTGTGGCCCTCTCCACAAGGCTGATTCGGTGGCAAACACTCGTCCACATCTTGTAATACAGAAGGGTTAGAAAAACAATTTGAGGTGAAAGCATAACATGACAAAGTAAGAAAAAACCAAAGGGCTCTGATTCAGAGAACCTACACACAGGTTTGCGCATGGAGTGCATGGGTTTCCCAACTCATCTCACAACTGTACATAGACCAGTCATGTCAAGAGTGTCCTTGGAGCACAGTGGGTGTTTATGTGGTCTAGGGCATTCCTGATGCTGCCATGCCACCTAGGGGAATCTTTGCTGACAAATGCTGCCTTGGCCAGTTCTCTATCCTTCTTAAAGTGATCTGCAAAAACACTTGGAGGTCTTTTGGTCTTTGGAATGTTAAGCGGCTGCTAGAAATAACTTTTAGATTTTGGGACTGTTCTTGACCTGTTGTGAGCTATCGTAACTTGGCATTTTATTGCTTTACTGTGTTGATTCCTTTGCAAATATTAATGTTGATTACACACCCAAGGAAACATTCTATAATGCAGCAGACTCCAGCAAAATTTCCATTTATGTTGAAGTGAGTACGCCCAAGAAGCTTTTGTTGAACAGTCAAGCAAACCTGTAAAAAAAATCAAAGCCTTTCTCTGCGTTTTGTCCAAGTCCTGGGCACTACAGGCAGACAAGGCCATGCAAACTGCAATGAAAAAGCTTATTCTTAAGATTCCAGATTTTCAAGACTCCAAAGATCTGTCTAATACCTGATCCATGGGTCCACTGAGTCTGCTCAGAGAAACCTGAGGATCAAGGGGGACTATGCAATCCTTGGGCTGGAAACTCTCCAAGAAAACAGAACCAAAGCTTAGGCAGCGCTTCCAGACTAATAATTGTAGGCAGGGCTGGGGATTGGTGCACGGCCACTAATAACACTTGGGCTGAGAGAGACAGCACATGCCGTGGAGCCCTGCTCTGTCTGGGTGGTCCTGTATTTCACAGCACTTTTGCTCCCATGGTTCCGAAGCTTCTTTGAGCTCTGCCCTGTGGGGCAATCACTCGGGTAAGCATTACACAGCTCCTTAGAGTTTTAAAAAACTGCCTTTGGGGTCCTAAATATTTATTTAGGAATGTTATATAGCACTCAAGATTTTTTAGCAAAAAAACCTCTTGGAAAATAGCAGAAGTGAAAATGACATTAAAAAGACTGGGGCATCTCTCCAGGAGGAAGGATTAAATGGACCCTTTGTACCAACCTACACATCTTGTGCCTTCTTCGTTTAGATGGTAGCCTCGCCCACAGTTTGGCACATTCCTCTGGCAAGCGTAAGACCCATCCGTGTTGATGCAAGTCTGTCCAGCAGGACAAGGTGCGTTTGCACTCAAGCATTCATTGATATCTACAACAGTACAAACATTAAATTAAAAGGGAAACTTTTAAGAGCAGAACACCAACCTTAAAATCTTAACTGAGCATGCTCCCTTGAAAAGACAAAGCATAGGCAGGGACAGCATAAACGGAGGAAATTTCCCAGTGGCAATAGTGGGGCAGCTGTAACAGCAGCTAGCCTCTCAGGAATGACACCCAGTTCAATGGTACTGGCTTTCAGGCGCAACATGCCTTACCAATACAGTTGCCCAGTGCATCTTGTATAAAGCCGCTCCTGCACTGTTGCTTGGGTCGGCAACGGAAGGATCCTGGAGTATTCTGACAGATAAAATCGGGGAGGCAGTTATGAGTATCAGTCTCACACTCGTCAATATCTGGTACATCACAAAAGAAAGAATCTGTTAGCGTAATGTCTTGCAGAGCCATCTTGTCATGCTTCAGACACAAGCAACATTTAAGCAAATCAGACCAAATGTGGGTTTTTTAATTATTATTCTAAAGGTATAACCACACTGCAGGATTAAGGTAGAACTAGGTGTTATAGCAGCAAACATGTGGTGCCAAAGCCACATTAGTCACTATAACAGGAATCAAGCTGGCAAAGGGCTACACTCATAAGGACTAACGGTGGGAGGCTTTATCCTGCCTACGCTACTCTGAAAATACTCCCCAAATTCATTTTCACCTCAGCTGGGTGGGCTTCTAATTTCAGAACCCAGCATGAGAAAAGGTGTCCCGCTTTGTAGCATACACTACAGCAAACACTAGTGTACATGTGGCAAACAAGCTTCCTGCATTATGTGTGAACTGGACCTAACACAGCAAATTTCAAGAGAACAGGATACATTAGTAAGAACTACAGCAACCATCTATCTCTCTTGTGAGAAGTCTGAAACATACCTTTGCAAAGGTTGTTCTCTGTCAGTTCATAACCAGTCCCACAGCTGGTCTCCCGCTGACAGCGGAAAGATCCTGCTGTATTGATACAAATTTGTCCAATGGCACAAGGGTTGGTAAGGCATTCATTCATATCTAGAAATAATCAAGGGGGAAATATGTGAAACGGCAACTTTGCCATACCATACGACCATCAGGAAGTCAAAGTCAGAGAATGCTCGCTGGTGTTCAGGAAGTAAGCAGTGTGTATGATTAGACTCTCAAAGTAACAAAAACTTATTTCTCATGTAATATTCATAAAAGAAAGGGAGAAGGAAAGCAAAACTAAACTTGACGAAGAGAGTCATTCTTCTCCTTTTTGGTTAGATACACTTTATGTCCCTCCAGTTTCCCCAGCTCTGCTGACCTCCTGCCAATCTCATGGCAGTTTCTTCAGAGGAAAAGAATCAAATTCCACACACTGCTACTAATCCTCAGCAAAATACACCTCATGCCACAACATCCCATCCTGTGGATTCCCTAATGCCTGCATGCGCTGCGCAGCCCTGGCTGGTGGCGCTGGTGGCGGCGGTCGGAGCAAGAAAATGTGCAACATAATGATTTCTGCTTTCCCAGAGCTAAGAAAGCTAACCAACAAATAACTGAGCCACAGTTTGTCTGAACTCAATCTTAACTAAAAGTTTATTCTTTTATTCCTCTTATCCTTTCATAAATGTGCAAGTTGCCTATTTCCTCCTATTCAGTTGAAAAATCTGCATCTCATTAGTCAACTGCAAAAGACCCAGTGCATATAACGGAACTCAGTTACACTCAGTATGTAATAATAGTTTAATTAGCTTTTAAACAATTATCTTATATATGTTTTTAGTTTTTGGTGTTTTATCCATGTTGATTCAATTTTTGTAAGATGCCTTGAGTCCCGTTCTAGGGAAAAGATGGGATGATGATGATGTAATATTCTTTCTGTCCCTAGTGCCAAAGATTTTTCTGATCCATTTCAATTCATGTTTGCTGCAGCCCTGACACCCTGCACCCCCAGTGCATATATTAGCCTCCTATTCAGCCTAATCCTATGCCAAGTTAGCTTTCAGGGATTTGGGTCTGCCTATCTTGGTCACATGTTACATTTGCCACGTGAGAGCAGGCAAGCCATGAGAAATTCTGAAAGCTCCTGCAGCAGCCAGAGAAAGCTACACAACACCGAAAGGATCAGGGGAAATTAGCTTCTACACAGAGATATAAGGTGAGACAAATAAGGGATGAAGAAAAGTGGCCAGTAGCTGATTCTTCACTGTGTGTGTTGTGTGTGTGCACGTCATTTCTATCCTGGGCAGTATTCTCCACTTCTTAGTGTAATAGGTGGAAATTTAGGAGACCTGGGTTCAAATCCTTACTCAGCTACGACTATTACTGAGCTACCTTGGACCAGTCACTGGTTCCCTATTTTCAAAAAACCAAGTTCCTTGAAGGAAGGTGGGCTGCAAGAAATGCAGTATGGAAAGAATCCGCCTTGAAGTAACAGGATGTCCCTGTGCAGCTCCAAACTCTCTCTCTAAAGCCATGACTTCAAACCTAATGGCTTTAGGGAGAGAGAGGAACCATAAGGCACCTGCACTGTCTGTTCTTCCCTGCAACATCTGAAGCCCCTCGTGGGCCATACTCTTACTGATCTAATAACCTGTAGCTGGAATGAACTACCCCAGGCAGTAGGAGAGTATTTTTCATGACACACACACACACACACACACACACACACTGCTGCATATAGAAAACTAAATGGCAGGAAGAAGTGTTGCAGCATCACTTTCCCAGCAAGTTTTCTATGTGCAAGAGTGTGCACGATTGCTCTTTTATGAAGGAGCACTCAGTGGAGCAAGTGCACACCTGCATACTGAAGTGGTATCGCTGAGATATACAGGCTTTCTGCTTCACCAAGAACAAGGCTTTAGTGCTGCCCTAAACACAGGGATATGATGTGTGCACAAACTCACTCTTATGTTCTGTTCATCTCTTGATTTACTCCACAAGCTTACTTTGAGTACTTGAACAGCAGGACACACATAGCCAGAGTTATTTCTCTAAATAAAGGACAAAACTACAAAAGAAAAGCAAACGGCAACCTTCCTTTACCTTCGCAAGTGAAGCCATCAGGCTGAAGCTGGTAGCCCATAAAGCAAGAGCAGAGAACACTTGAGCCAGAGTCCCTGCATTGCTGGGTGCAAGGGCCGCCTCCTGCGAAGGACAACAGCAGAAGATAGCTAGTTCTTTTAAAGTTCATCATTAAGAAACCCAAAGACCAGCATCAAGCATTTGCCCTTTAACAGCATTGTATCTTCCTTAATTTCTTTTGGAGAAAACAAACAATTAACTACAAATTAGTGGTTCAAAACCAGAACAGAATACTCTTTTGTTTCCACTATTATGTGTATCCTAAATTTGCATTGTTCAGTCAAGGTAAGCCCAAAATGGAAAGAGGGATCTGTGAATGGGATGGTTGCCACCATTCATGAATTCATAGAATTGTAGAGCTGGGACACCAAGGGTCATCTAGTCCAACCCCCTGCAACGCAGTGCACATGAAATGGCAACGCTGACTATAGCTAGCAGTCTGCATGCATTGCCAACAAAACAGAGCTAAGCTGCTGTGGAGGACTTGTAATGTGCCTTCTACACAGCCCACGAAACCAAAAAATGGTAGACAATATTAATTTTACAGGGTGCCTGACTAAAGGCTTAAGAGTGACATTAGTATTAGGAGCAAACTGTGCAATATGGACAAATGCAGCAGAGCTGGGATGGCTCAGTCAATAAAGCAAGACACTCCTAATCTCAGGGGCATGGGTTCGGGCCCCATGCATTGCAGGGCTTAGACTAGATGACCCCAGTGGTCCCTTCAACTCTACGATTCTATTATTGTAGTGGTTTCTCAGTGAGCCAGGAGGCCCCTGAACAGATTCAGTCACAAACTCACAGACTGGTCTGACAAACAGCTTCTCTCTCTCAGCCCTGCCCCACAAATTAGTAAATTACCTCTGCAGCGGTCATTAAGGTAATGATCCTCATTATCAACTTCCACTGGTGATGCTGCGTCTTGAGGGAGAAAAAAGCCAAACATTAGGAGAGTGAGACAGAAAGGTCAAGCCTGCTAAAATAAAATGGCCCTTTGTCCTGTTATTTAGAATGGATCTTGATGTACGAAGTCTTGTTTATGACTCTGTTTTAAATCTGAGGTTTATATGACCATTTGTAACAGGTCAATTACCACACAGTGACTCCTGCCAGACATTTTCTCGTAGAGATGCTTTTTTAAGGGTACCTCCCAAGATAGTTGGATTTAGGCCAAATCTGCCTCAGAGTGAGAATGTTATCTGTAGTCCTATTCCATCCAGAGTTTTGTAAATGTGGTTGTTAGTTCCTCAACTGCTGTCTGGCCTAGATTTTTAGTTGCTGAGGCTAACTCATTCCATGCTGTCTCAGGAAAGGCATTGTCTAAAGGTCTTTGACTGAGAATTAAACAAGGACAAGGGGTCATCTAGCAGGTCCTTGACTGAGAATTGCCATGAACCTCAGCCACACAGGTTGCTTCTAAATATTTGCAGATGCAACTGAAGTTAAAATGACTCCAAAAGCAGACCCAGTAAGTATTGTTGAACATCAACAGAGTTATTTGAGTTATAATGTTTAAAAAATAGATTTGTTTTGTTTTGTTTTTTCCACTCTGTATGCTCCTTTCTCACAAATGGACAGAACGGTTCTGAATTAAGTGTCTGTAGGCCAGGCAAGGAGAGTAACAAAACAGTAACAAAAACAACATTTTGTGAGGTCACTTTGACCACTAGCACTTCATGTTCTTTTTGTTTCTCTGGCATTCCATGAGATTTAAGGGCAGGAGATTGGGACGCCACATGGTAATGCAAGCCTCATAATGGTTAAGGATTACCTAGAACATGGAGTTGTTAAAGATTTAGATAAAAAGGGAGCTTTTTTTACTTCTTTCAGTATTGCTGTAGCACATTGAAACTCCAGCTATTGGCAGAGAGAGAAACAAAACACTGACCGATGGCTTGTGCAGTTGTGAACCACACCAATAGCAGCAACCTGATCAAGCAACTTTTGAAGGTGTTGTTTAGGAACACACAGATATTTCATAGAGCAACCACAGAAGTGGCAGTTCAGGGGTGATGCTGGAGCCCCCACACCGTCTTCTCTTTGGTGTGTGCATCAGCAGAAAGTGAGGCAATGATGAAGCCTCATAACTGGCCACTCCTTCAGGTGAGCTAAGTATATAACTCAGGTGTGTATAAACTAGGCCAGGATCTGCCCCTAAAATCCTTGCAATGCACAGAGGATATGTGGAAATGCCCAAGCAAGACAAGCTGATTTGGAAGGTGTTCCCTGAAGGTAGACAACTTCAAAACCCCAGCTCTGAGACATCAACCATTTCTGCACAGGGTGAATTCCTAGCACAATCTCATTAAATCTCATTAGTTCTGAACTGAACTGAATCTGAAACAATTCCCCTCTACATATTTCAAAAATAAAGTTGTGCTGGGGGGTGTGTGTAACTTACCTAGTTCTTTGTTAGGATCATCAACAATTAACGTGTCAGAGTTTTCTTGCCCCTCAACACAGCAAGCTCGGAAGACCAAACCACACTGGTATCCCATCAGGAGGCTCTGCTCACAGCTGTTCCCTTGCTTTTGGGCCACCTTCCCCATAAAGCAGCAATAACAACATTTCTGCCAAAATGCAATACAGACATTATCAATGAGCTTTATAGTATTGTATTAGCAGCCACATTCAGGTTCCTTTTTGCAGTACAGTGGCCCCTCAGGTTGGATGCAACTCTAAACCATGTCCTCTCCGCTTTCCCTCAGTCCTCCTTCCCTCCCCTGGTGTTCATCACATCATGTATTTATTTTAAAAATATTTCTATACGGATAAAAGTTCTCATAATGTATTTTGGGGGGTTTCTGGGGAAATTGAAAGGAGCTGTTATGTAATGTAATATAATAAGAATAATTTTTATTACATTTCCCAACATATATTTCACAAACAACCAAAGGTCAACCTGTGGCGTATTTCATACATTACCAAAGGCCTATATGTTGCTCTCAGTCCAGTGGTTCCCTCCAGAATATTTTTGCTCTCATACTCCATACATTATTTTTGCTTCTTTGATGCCCACATAATACATATACAAGAATAGATCTTAACTATGACTTAAAAAAAATAAATCTTCATATAAATACAATAGGGGAGAAATGGCAAATCCCATTTTGATGGACAGTAGAGATAAATAATATAAATGACTAGTATGCCTGTCGGCTGTATCCAGCTGTGCTATCCCCACCCCCAAAGATGGCTGTGGCTGGTGGACAAGTTGTAAGTTAGGCTCTGGCGAAGCACTGAAATAACAGCAGCCCTTTACCACTCCTGTAACCTCCTCAACATCCATGGATACTCAACTCATGCTGAGATGTCAATGCAACGAGATTTTCCCCACCTTCACCACCAGCTCCTGCGTCTCACTACAGGGGAAACTCTCGATGTGCTGAGGATCCCAATTATTTTCATTTATTACATTTAAATCTTGCCTTTGTTCTGTGATGGGCACCAAAGTAGTCTCCCATCTGGCTCCTGACCAGATTTAGACCTGCTTAGTTTCACCCAGGTTGGTGCATTAATCTATTTCATGTCCTAGAACCAATTCTGGGAAGAGGAGACACAGGGAAGGTTATTTTGGGTAGCTGCCACACATCAGCCATAATATTTAGTTCCAGTATAAGAAAGAGCAGCATAAAGCTTTGTAATCTCAACAATGGGTGATATTGCCAATTAGCAAACACCAGCAGCGTCAAGAAGCAAACATTGTGCTAGTGGTACGTTAAGGAGTTGCCACAAGAGGGCTCTTGCTTGTTGACTTAAACAATGTTGTAGGCAGAAGTATATAGGAAAAATTAAGAATTACAATGTTTTAGAACACACCATTCATCTAATGTGGGGTACTGGCTGGGTGCCTTAGGGCACACCCAACCTAGATGCTACACACTATAGGGGAATAAATATAAATAAGAATATATTAAACATAATATAATATAATATAGGTATAATATAATATAATATAGGTATAATATAATAAAGGGCAAGCTGCCTCCTCCTACCAGTCTTCTTACTGAGGAGCTGATATGATTCCCAGAATGCCATGTTCCAGAAACACTGTGGAAATCTAGACTCCAGGAGGCTTGAATACAATGCTGTGCCTAGGAGGTTAAATTCTGAGCCTTAATTCAAGGCAAACGGTTGATATCAAATAATGGCAACTCTGAAATCTCACCTTAATGACTTTGTCTTCACAGGTAGTATTGCCTTCATTGGAATCACAGTCTTCATGCTTGCTGGCAATCGCTATTCCTGCTGTGCAACGCAGCTCTTCCAGTTGATTGAGGCAGCATTGTTCCTGAGCTATGCTACAAATAAGTAAATAGAATGGGAGGGGAGGTGGGTGTGTCTGAGGCCAAGCACATAAAGGCTTGTATGGTAATATTTGCCTCAAGCCAAAATCTCAGCATCTTCAGACAGCCCACAAGCTGTAGCCAAGGCTTCTTTCTAATGGCTTATGGTTTGTCTGGAGGAGACAAACCACGAGTCCAAGTTCAGACAACGCACTAAGCCCAAACCATAGTTTAGCTTGCAGCAGCACAACAATAGCAAGAGCAGAGGAAGAACAAAGTGTTCATGATTTCCGCTTGAAGAGGTCGCTAAATTGTGGTTTGGCTTGGTGTTACGTGTGAACTGGGCCAGTGAAATCTATATTTAGTTAGGCTTTACTGAGAGTTTAAAAGCAAAGTTTGGAGAGGTAGGGAAACTGCCCTGAAGATGTTGATGATGATGATTAGTGTCACACCTGCCCTGAGTTAGAAAAAACCATAGTTCTAAATTAGAATTTGACATCTGCTTTCAGCCAAGTATGGTTAGTATTCCACTTAGGGCAGCTTAGTGTGGGCAAGAGAAGTGGGGAATGGGGGTTCACAAGAGAGCAGGGCAGAAGGATACGTGAGCCTGAGTCGTGTCCTGATTTCTTAATCTTGGTTAAGAGCTCAGGAAACCACACATCTGCACCAAACCAGCTACACAACCTGGTTTGTCGATAAAGTTTGGTTTTAGTTTAATTAAGGTTAGCCGGTGTAACACCCTCCAAATGGTCTTGGACTACAGCTTCCATCATCCATGACCATTGGCTATGCTAGCTATGGATGATGGGAACTGTAGTCCAACAACACCTGAGGAACTTCACATTGGCTCTTCCTGGTTTAGATACATACCGGTACATAACACCAAGCAACAAGTACAGACCTACTGAAACCAATGACTTGACAAACTAAGTGCATTGGTCTACTCAGAGTATAGCTTAGTTGGGTACAATTCTTGGACAGGGCATACCTCTCTTTCCCAACCCTCTCAATACAAACAACATACTTTTTTTAAAAAGTAAGTCTTTGTCCAATGAATAAAGCCAACCAAGAGATCTTTAAAGAAACAGAATTGTGGGCTTTTACTTCACCTCTTCATCAGATTTACAATTAGCAGAGAAAGTCTGCATTCCTGTTCATTAAATGAACTGTAGCTCCAGAACGCTTTCATGTCTTCTGCTATCCCCTCCAGAGAGTGAATGCTTAAAAACAGCATGATTTTCCTAACTGCATCAGGAACTGCTCTTATTTCCCTTTCATTCATTTCCATAAAAACCATTCAAAGTGCAGGCTATAACTTAAGGGGGGAAATTCCTCTAGCACCAATCTAGTTTCAAGTGGTTGAGAGGGGAGTCCCTCACCTTCTCGTTTCCATCATTTTCCAGAGAACATTGTGGTTAAATAAGGAACTTGCTAAGTTGGTATTTAGCATTTCAACATTAAATACAAAAGGAGGGACCTGCTGCTCTTTTCAACAAACTCATTTATGGAAATCAATTTGAACAGGGTGTTTACAGAGTACGTGTAAGCAATATCAGCCTAATTCTGTGTAAGGCAGTAAACCTATTCTAGCTCAAGTTTCTCTCTGATGTGCCAATTTTTCATCCCCAGAGGGATTTTAATGGGGGTGGGGGGCGGGTTGCACAGAGGAACACGCATTCTTAGTGGACCTCAGCTTCAATTTGTACAAGTGGTACAGTCAAGTCACAAATATACCACCTCGGCTAGGGGGTGGTGAGGTGGGCCCCTGCCAGGGGCACAGGCAATGGGGGGGGCAAAATTGGCTTAAAAATATGTCCATAAATATTGATGATTGCCTCATAAGAAATGGTTTTAAATAGAGGGTGAATTGAATGGGGGGGTTGGAGGAGAGGCGGAAAGAAGAGATAATTTGTCCATGGCTAGGGGGTGCAATCTGGACAGTTCTGCCAGGGGCGCAAGATCACTCAGCTACGGCTCTGGCAACAAACATGCCCATTATGTGACGTTAAAGGAGTAGCAGTTGTAATAACCTAGGCCCAGGCGAAACCCGTGTGCTGGTGGTAATCTTGTATGTGGAGTGGAGGAGTGAACTCCCTCCACATTACATCAAAATACATGAGTGACACGGAGCCAAAGGCACAGCAACTGGGTTTGCATGATTTTTAGGCTGAAAGATCCTGCAAATGAGGGTCCATGCAGCCCCAAGATCACACATTCTTAGTTAAAACAGTTATACACCATGTTGACTATGTACAAAGTGACCTAAAAAAGTAAAAAATCTTAAAAATATAAAACACAGTTCAAGTAATAATAATATTTAACGAAGTATGACTATCCACCAGGGGGACAAAATACTGCAGTGCCATCCATATGGTGCCAGGGCCATGTGACTTGAGGCACCAAGAGGAGCTTGGCTGCGTTCCTCAATTTGATTTCTCAACAGGATTTCCCCTTTTCCTGACCCCTGTGTATGTTTCATCTTTTTAAATTTTTATTGTTATTCAAGCAACTTCAAATCAAGTTAAGTTTTATCTGTCAACCACTTTGTGTAGGAGGCCGTATTCAATGCCAATATAAATGTAAACATTCACCAAGTACTAGCAGACAGGATTGCAAAACACATTCTTTCCATTCTTAAAAAGAAATCAAGCCAGGACATCTACAATTACAAATCTGAAAAGCAAGACAACAAATATTTTCCCCAAAAAGGTTCTTTTCAGAGTGCTGTTTATAGATTGGGCAGGAGGCCCCTATTTTTCCACTAAAGACTACTATCATGGGAAGAAGTCCCAGGTCAGTGTCGAAATGGGACCCTACAGTAGCAGTGAAGAGAAAACTTAGGACACTGGGCTTTCAAGGCCAGTGCTTTATCCCAGAGGAGTAGTCTATCTGTAGCTATAACAACAAGCAAGCAAGCTGCTTTGAAGAATACCTGCATTCTTTGGAATCAGGATGTGATGGCAGAGAACTACAGTCTCTCTTTTGACTTGCCCATTCATATCCCTGTGAGCAGCAGCTCTCCACTGAAATTTCTGCAGAAAGAAAAAACAATTGTGTTTTAGAAGCACTCAGGAAATGACATTGAGGAATCATCTGTCCACCCTCCCTGCAGAGGCGGATCTAGCTGCTCTGGCACCCAGAGTGGCGGCACACATGCTGGGCACCCAGGGGCGGGGTGAGTGGCGAGCGTCCCAGGGGGGCGGAGCTGCGATGTCACTCACCCCCCCAGGGATGATGCCTGGGGCGGGCCGCAGCCACCGCACCCCACTTCCTCCGCCGGATGACATAATGAGGGTGCAATGGAGGCAGCGAAGTATGCCACCTTTGCTGCCTTCACTGACACTACGAAGGTTTGATGAGGAGCCCTTGCCAGTGTTCGGTTGCATTCAGCCGGACCTTTCTCCCACTTGCATTTAAGTTGTCTCCCAGCTTGCTTCCTTGCCCTAAACTCTGGCGTATACCAGGGAGCCAAACCTGAACCTACTGCCAACCAGCTTTCTTGAGTGACCTAATGAATGAAGAATAATGTCTCAGTGATCCTCTTTTAAACTGCTTTCAACTGCATATCTGAGATATAATCATAAAAATGCTGTTACTGCTCTTAGATTGAAATAATCCAGTTGGAGTAAGGATGTGGAAAAAGCACCATAACACAACAGTAAAATCTTATGAAATCAAGATGAATTAAAAACTATTTTTAAATGAAAAATGCAGAAGTGAAAAGACAGAACACATGTGGGAAATTAAGGAATTTAAAATTACAAAGAAAAAGAAATTAGCTATACAGCTGACAAATACATTAAAAGGAAAAAGAAAACCAAAAAGAACTAAACTGAACAGACTGCAATCCTGAACACTGTGACATTTAGGCAGCTTAACTGTGTGCACATTGCAACCTTAGTTATTTGGACTTCAGATTATTTGTGGACAATGGCCAGGTCTAGCAAAATAAACACAGTTAATGAGCAACAGGATTACAGACATACTTAATATTTCATGCACAAAAGTTCACTACGCAGCAGGAACATTAGAACTAATAAACGAGTCACTCTAATTGTTATTTTAAAAAAAATATTGCAGTCTTACAACTGGTTCAAATCACTGTCTAGGCTGGCCAAAACTCCAGCTGAAAGAATTTCAATGACATTGGATTAGACACAGTGGTGTCCAAACATTTTTCAAAGAGGGCCAGATTTGATGAAGTGAAGGGCCATGAGGGCCAACCAAAGTTGTTGGCAGTTGTTTTTAGGATTTTACCAGATTAAACCGACTGGTGGGCCAGATTAGGCCCCCAAAATAGACTTTGGACATGCCTTCAAGTAACTCCAAAGTGTGCAATACGCAAGGTGTCAGTCAAGGCATTACAACAGCCGTCTTCCTTCTTTCATACCATTCCAAAATTATGAATATTCTGGGGCAAATCAAGCTGCCCTTGGGCAAATCAAGCTGCCCTTGACAGTTTTTGTTGTGTGTAAAATGTTGAAACTGATCAGATGATCTGAATTTACAATCTTGGCTGAGAGAAAAGTCTAGCCTTAAGAAAAAAGCAGACACTAATACTGCAGAAGAATTAGCCCCTTATCATATACAGTGGTACCTCGGTTTACAAACTTAATCGGTTCTGGAAGTCCGTTCTTAAACCGAAACCGTTCTTAAACCAAGGCGCACTTTCCCTAATGAGGCCTCCCGCCGCTGGTGCCCTTCCACCATTCAGCTCCCATTCTTAGACCGAGGTAAAGTTCACAAACCAGGACACTACTTCCAGTTTTGAGGAATTTATAAACTGAATCGTTTGTAAACAGGACTGTTCTTAAACCGAGGCACCACTGTATACATATCCAACAAAGCCCCATATATTATAAATATATATCAAACAAACTGGGGGCCTTTCTCATGCTACCGGGGTTCGCATACTTGAGCCAGCCTGGGTAGCCAGATAAAATTTGTGGTTGCAATGACCCCCAATAGTGGATGATACAATCTTGCATCTAGTAGGGTTGCCATGTGTCCTCTTTTTCCAGGACACGTCCTCTTTGTCATGGATATGTAAAATGAGAGTCATCATAGTGATCCATATTTAAAAGAAGTTGGTAAATGTGTCTTCAAAATACAGCAACCCAAGTACTGCCATATTGAGTGCACCGAACAGAGAGCAAGCATGCACATAACACATCTGAATGTCAGGAGTAGGTTGGCAATAAATCACAAGTTAACTCTTTCTTCAAAGAAACTCAGGTCAACTCAGGAGGCCAGGCCTAGTGAGCACAGCAACTCATCCCGGTAGATTGTGCCCCTATGAGCCGTTGTGGGGACTGAAGGTCCCCACCTTCCCACAGTTCCTTAAGTCTTCTCCTCCCCCGGGTCCTTCCCAGGCAACCTGAGACTTTGCCGCCTTGTTTGTTTTTGCTTCACCCTCTTCATACCCCTTCTGGTTCTGAGAGACCAGGTGGGAGGAGATCAAGTCACAGCAGGAGGGGGAGACCCCCTGGCTTCTTCACCAGCCAGACTCATCTCTGCCTCTTGGCCCCTCTCCTCTTGAGCCTCTGATTCTGCCTCCGATTCTGGACTGCTCTCTGCCACAGACTCTTCCTGCTCACTAAACCCTGTTACATTTCACCTTCTGATACCTTCTCCTCCCAGTCTTCTCCCCCTCACCATTCATCATCCCACTACTACCAATCCCCAGACCTTGAGCCTTCATCTCGTGGGAATTCTCCCGGAGGTTCCTCAGCTGTCGCCTCCCACCACTCCTCAGCATCCAGCCAGTCCATGACAGTGAACTTCCAAAACATTCAGAACATAATCTGCTTAGTGGTGGGCAATTCGCCCCTAGTCCTGTGCTTCTCTGTTGACATTTCCTGACCACCTGAGAAGCACAATGTAAATGTTGCAAATGAGGAAGGTGATGCTCCATCAGATGAGCAAATCTGTGGTTTGCCCACCTACCACACACCCCACACATTATTAAACCATCTTCAGGTGAGAAAGTAATGCCTTTATTAGATCCATGAACTTGTTGGCCTATATGTGGTAGTTACTATGACATCCTCAATACTAGTCCCTTCAATTTAAAAATTGCAAATTAAACTGTCACACGGTGTGTTGAACTCTTCAACTTTCAAATTCTGAAAATTGAGGGATGCTAAAAAGTTGTAACATGGCTTGGGAATGCAAAAGATATTTTGGTTAAATTAATATAACTTTGTTTTGTAAGTAAAATATACATAAAATTGCACAGAAATCATTTAAAATGATTGCCAAGTACTTGTATATTATTATTATTATTAAGCATCACCTAACATTTTCAGAGGGATGCAGGTGGCGCTGTGGGTTAAACTACAGAGCCTAGGACTTGCCGATCAGAAGTTCGGCGGTTTGAATCCCTGTGACGGGGTGAGCTCCCGTTGTTCAGTTCCTGCTCCTGCCAACCTAGCAGTTTGAAAGCACGTCAAAGTGCAAGTAGATAAATAGGTACCACTCCGGCGGGAAGGTAAACGGCATTTCCGTGCGCTGCTCTGGTTCTCCAGAAGCGGCTTAGTCCTGCTGGCCACATGACCCAGAAGCTGTACACCAGCTTCCTTGGCCAATAAAGCGAGATGAGCGCCGCAACCCCAGAGTCGGCCACGACTGGACCTAATGGTCAGGGGTCCATTTACCCTTTACCTTTTAACATTTTCAGAAGGTAAAATTAATATTAGTTGGTTTTCCGAAAGCAGTTTATATGTTTCTTCATCAAATTCAGACTTACCAAGCTAAATATTGTCCAATCACAAAAATAATATTGGATTTGAATTCCTCACACTCAAAACATATTTTAAATACCCCCCTCACTGAATAAATTTGCAAAAAATAAATTTTACCCCCTAAAATGATATGCCCTAATGGACTATGCCATTTGACAGTACCAGCGGAGAAGAAAACCTGGGATTACATTAGCGCCATTTACTCATCCTGCCCCCGCACTTCACCTCACCAGCACACAGAGATAGCAAGTGCATGGAAGGGGAAGCAGGACAACACCCACTGGACCAGCCTCAACAGCTATGCACTCAGCGCAATGCCTGAAATGAAAGCCTGCAGTCATACAAATGTACTGTACACCTATAACCCTCAGGGTTCCCGATTGCATGGAGAGTCTGCCCATCAGCTGCCCCTTCAAACTTCTGAGGGCACAGAAGTTAGGAGTGGGGGGGCACATCCCTGTTGAGACACCATGCCCTGATGGCGTAAACTGGGTATCTGTTTACACTAGGGTCACATCCAGTGCTATTTTTCAAGAAAAAGAGGTGCCAGAACTCACCCTGACTGCCCACCTGAGGGGCCAGGACCCGAGTTCCAGAGAGTTCTGACTCGAAAAAAGCCCTGCTCACATCCACACTCGGAGCATGGATGGTTTGACCAGAAAGGCAAAGGCAAAAGCATCTCTTATGCTTAACTTATAAAGAATGTTACACCTTACAGATTTATCATTTATCGATATGCATATTTACTCGGAGGTAAGCGGCACCACATAAGTGAGCAAGAGCTGGCTTCCGAAATGAATTTGTCTCCTCCTTTCTCCTTTCGTGAAAATGTTTCTGAATGTCGAAATTTCCAAGTATTGGGTATCGTAAAATAACCTCAAGGAAAAATAACTTCAGTCTCGTCGAAATCAACTACACTCAGAATAGGGCAGATTAGGGCGCTTTAATTTAGCTGCAAGAAACTAGTAACCTGCACGCCAACTCGAGGGGCTTCAGTCCCCAGCCAGGCTCAAAGACACCCCCAAAACACACACACACACACACACACACACACACACACACACTTTCCACGAGCGCAGACTCTTTTGCCCCGGGTCAAGTCTTGGCTTTCCCAGCCCGTGGCGGGGGAGGGGGGGGGAGGCAGCCGGTCTTCTCCTCCTCGTCCTCGCCCTGCAATTCAAACATTTTGCAGCATTGCAGCTGTTTGCTTACCTTGCGCGCCGCACAAAGGCACCGAAGCCAGAAGAAGGAGCAGCCGGATCCTGCGCAGATTCTCCATCAGTGAGCGGCGCGGAAGCGGCAGGAAAGGAGCCGGGAAGGAGAGCGCAGCAGCCGCAGGCAGGGGCTTCACTCTGTCTGAGTTTGAGTTGACTTTCTTGCTCCTACCTCGGCTAACGCCCCCCTCGCCACTCAGGGCGGGTCGAGAAGGAAGGAGCCTGCAAGGATTACCCGCTACAAAGTAACTGTGCGGGGAGTTAATTCGCCGCCTTCCTGCCTTCCTTTCAATTATCCCGCTTGCAGACGTTGAAGGCGAAACATAGCCTGGAGGCGGGGCCTTTTAAAAGTCCCCTGCTGGATCCAGGGGTGGTCCTTCTCCCGCCCCCCCCCCCCGCCGGTTTTCTTCTTAGAGTCTCTCTCTCTCTCTCTCTCTCTCAACCAACTTAGGAACCTTGGGAAACAACCTCGTGGCCAAGACTGACTGGTTCAGGTTTCCTCCTCCAAACAGAAAGGGAATTCTCGAAATACCTTCAGCGCAAGCAAAATCCCACATAAACAAAAAAGTGGGATGCCGGAAAAAGTCAAGGCCGCTTCCTGGCCGCTCAGTGGAAAGTTTAAAAGTCTCCTTTCTTCCTACAGATTGTCCTGAATGTATGTGTATTAATGACTGAGAGAAAATCTGGAGCTGAAAAAAGGAGGCAAAGGAAGCAATGCAAAAATTCTCCAATTACAGCACACTCGCTTAAATGGTATCTCGTTTTTATCTTATCCAAACAAGATGCAGAGTGATCTTTGGTCCAAAGGAGGATCTGCCCGGAGCCCATCAGCCTCCCTCTGGCTGCGCTCTTTGTGTGGGGATTAGATTAACTGAGGGTCAAATGTTATTTCAATAAGAGCAGATGGTGCTGAGTCCTATTTGAAGAGAGGAGTTGCTTCCTAGGCTTGCAGGTTACCCCCACCCCATTCCTCTAAGAGTGCTCTGGGCTTCCCATTTACACAGAACTCTAGTAATCATCCCAGGTGACCAGCAGTCAATGACTTACAAAACTGGACTGTTCTACATCCACATTTAATCTTCAACCAGTGAGCCCCAAAATACTGTAGTTAATTTGTTTAATGGTTTGGTTGGAACTCTAAGATACTATTATTATCCTCATTACTTATCTCTGGATGGTTTGTTACGGCTCTATGAACCGCCATCTGATCAGACCAATGCCCATCTCGTCCAGCATTCTGTGTCCAGCTGTGTCCAGCTGGAGGGGACCACCTGCCTCTCTTGGTCCATGGACAATGCAATTAATATGGGTGCTGTTAGCAACTGATAATTGCCTTCTGTTGTTTCCCCTCTATTATTATTTCATTATCACAGGAGTGGAATCTGGTAATTTTTTGTAAAATGACACCTTGCGCAAGGCCCCCCCAAATAGATCTTCACAAGTATGGATCTTCTCAATATTGCGCCGCCTCGGCTTGGTGCCTTCTAAATCTGGCACTGGCTTACCACATTGCACAGCATAGAGAGTTGCCTGGGACAGGAAATCAGTTCCAAAGGTTAAAGCAGGGGTCAGCAACCTTTTTCAGCCATGGGCCGGTCCACCTTCCCTCAGACCATGTGGTGGGCCAGACTATATTTTTTTTGGGGGGGGGGGAATGAACAAATTCCTATGCCCCACAAATAACCCAGAGATGTGTTTTAAATAAAAGAGCACATTCTACTCATGTAATAACATGCTGATTCCCAGACCATCCGTGGGCCGGATTTAGAAGGCGATTGGGCCACATCTGGCCCACGGGCCTTAGGTTGCCTACCCCTGGGTTAAAGGGTTGTTTAGTGGAGGCAGAAAGGAAATACAGAGATACCCACTTGGTAGCAGTAGTGAGGACCAAGGAAGGAGGTACTAAGCTAGCTGTTTCACTTGTCTGCCCTCCTTCTCATGGTGTAGGCTGCAGTCCGCCTGCCCCCCGCCCCCGTTACCCTAGCTACTCTGCCTTTTTGGGCAGCTTGGATGATGCACACATGCATTGGCACATTTGCATATTTCCTCAATGCCAGGTTCCTGAGGCTCAAGGAGCAGAGCTTGAAAACTCAAGGGCAGTGCCAGACAAAACGAACGGAGCCAGTCATCTCTTGACGACTTGCTGTCTTCAGAACAGGATTCTTGCCCTCCTTCTCACAAGTTTTCAAAATATATTTATTAGACCTTATTGGCATCTGTCTCAATTTCCTCTAAGAGAAAAGGCAAGTGAGACTGGAACAATATGACGAGAAAAGGGAAGGAGGCTAACTTTTACGATAGTCTGCAAATGAGACTTCTGAAAACAGTCCTCTGCGCATCCTGAAATTTAACCCCTCGCCCTGGAAGTCCTGGGAAGCAAGCCAAACCTCTGACATTTCCAGTCCAAGCAAACCCAAGTCTTGGGAGTTCGTTTGTCTGGTGCCACACTTCACAAATAAAAATAGTACAAAAGTGAGTATTTGGGGTTTTTTAACTAAGGAGCAAAACAAACATGATCCTTTCCATCTCAACCCAAATCTCCACAGAGCATCTGCCCTCCAGGCGGCTGCTGGCTTTATCTGAAGCCAAACTATTTGGAGGTAAAATTGAACTGTCACAGAGCAAAACTAAAACAAGCAAAACTGCAGTCAGGATGGTGACATAATGGAAATTCATTCCCTGTTGCCTTTACTCTGTTTGCTTCCAATATTAGCACCTTTGCTTCATGTGCAACTTAGAGTATGTGCTATATATTGCAATGTTTGCATGAAAGCTCTCTTCATAAAGAGCTTCTAATAACTTTTTGCATGTGTTGTGAAAGAAAATGTTTTGAAATGATTTTATTGATTACTACTGCATGTAGTGCACAGTTTTAGGGCTTAAGTCTTCTTTTGCAGGTCTCAAAAATGAAGTGTAAAACCTTGGGGTGATGTGCCAGAACGCAAAGTCAGACAGTTCTGCTTGGCTTGGTTCTTCTGCTAAGCCACCAAGCATAGCCAGGCTCTGACCTCTGATCTGCAGGTGGCATCCCGGGCCTCTTCCAGCTGTCCCTAGGCTCCAACCCTAGGCCCAGCTGTCCCTAGGCCCACCATCTGCCGGCAACCACCTCCTGTTACCCAGATGCCTTCACTTTGAGTACCAGGGTCTGATGCTATTGAGATTTGACAACCATAAAGGGAGACTAGACTTTTTCAAGCATATGATTAAAACCATTTTTCCTTCCATCCACATTTGAGCGGCTGATTTATCTCGTAATTGGGAGCTTGTACACTACAGGAAATATGGAGTGCAATTGTTTGAGGTGGGAGTCAGGCGTCATTTCCAGTAAGTATCTGTGAAAGGAATTTGCAGTGAATAATTTCCCAGATAAACCTACCATCAGGGAGCTGGTAGCCTCATACTTCTGGTCACTGATCACTTTTGTTTATATTTAGTCTTATTCCATTCTGGTTCCAGGCACCTGAGTGCTAACAATAAAAATAAGATTGCTCTGGATAGAACTAAAAAATATAATAAAATCCAGTGCAGGACTTATCTACAGGGGACTGGCCTGAGACAGTACAGTGGTACCTCGGGTTACAAACGCTTCGTAACCCAAGGTACCACTGTAATCCGCAAATGATTGCAACTTCTACCCTTCTTCTTTTTCAGCAAACACACTGGTTTCCCATTGGTACAGGTCCAGTTCAGCTAATACAGGGACATATAGGCAGCCAGCGGGACGCGGGTGGCTCTGTGGTCTAAACCACCGAGCCTCTTGGGCTTGCCAACTATAAGGTTGCCAGTTCAAATCCCCGCGACGGGGTGAGCTCCTGTTGCTCTGTCCCAGGTCCTGCCAACCTAGCAGTTCGAAAGCACAAAGTGCAAGTAGATAAACAGGTACCACTGCGGTGGGAAGGTAAATGGAGTTTCCTTGCGCTCTGGCTTCCTTCACAGTGTCCCGCCGCACCAGAAGCAGTTTAGTCCTGCTGGCCACATGACCCAGAAAGCTGTCTGCAGACAAACGCCGGCTCCCTTGGCCTGAAAGCGAGATGGGCACCGCACCCCATAGTCAAGTTTGAATGGAATTAACCACCCAGGGGTCCCTTACCTTTTACTTATATAGGCAGCCAGGAAATATTCTTATTAGGTCAATAAATTAGGTTGATATTGATTGATATTTTTATAATCAATTTTTATTAAAAGTTTTAGAACACAATAAAAGTAAAACAGGTGGGGGGGAAAGGAAGAGCATAAAAAGAAAAGAAAATGAGGAATAAGATGAAGAAGAGAGAGAGAAAGGAAGGAAGGAAGGAATGAAGGAAGGAAGGAAAGGAGGAAATACAAAGCCCTCTCTCTTTACTCTTAGTCCACACAAAGGGAAGTACGTAAGCCAACCCAGCTCTCGCCTGGGGGCTTCTCCCTCTTCCCCCAGCCTCCCACCCTGGGGATCCTCTCTGCCTCTCACGGAGGGCCTTTCATCTTCCATCCGTCACAGAACATAAATGTAGAAAGAGCTAACGAAAAAGAACAGAGTTTGAAAACCATAGAGAAAAAAAGATATAAAGAAAATTTGATTTAAAAATTGATCAACAGAAAAGGAGCTGCTGATTAATTACTGAGAATTTATATTTTTAAAAATAAAAAATATAAATAATTTTTAGTTCAAAACAAAACGTCTTGAAAGATGCATTATCTCTCATCACACAACAGAGAATGCCTCTTCTAAGATGGTGCCTACTGTGATGTGTGCATGCATCATCCAAAATAAGTATGTATTTAAATCAGAACTAATGCTTAATTTGTATGCAAATTTATGCAGAATTGCAGGGCATTTCAAATAGGTGGAACTGCCAAATCCAAGGCCGTGCCAAGCTGGGTAGAAGGCTGGGAAGGGCAGTATCTCCTCATCCTCCTGTTTCTGGGTGCAAGGAAAACTGAGCGTTCATTCTGAGAGTGAGCCAGGGCAATGGAGTAGCTGCCCAAGCGCCCTCTATTTAAAGGACATATGATCCTTGAAATAAGAATATTGATGTCATTTTGTATACACCCACAACTTAATAATTTGCTTTGAAAAACAGCATTTTAAAAAATAGACTTGAGTTCAATCACCCTATAAATAGGCTTTCAAAATACTTCACATTGAGAAAAGATCTGCTTTTCAGCTGTTACACTATGAATTATTGACACCAGCTTAAAACCTAATATAGCAGTTGGATTTATTCTGTTAATACATTTCCCATAAGCTTTTTGGAGGAAAAAAGACTTAATAAATGCTGCTGTAAATATATGAAAAGCAGAACAGTCTGTAATTGGGAACACGTGAGGAGAGAGGCTTAAAAAGAAGTTTAATGTTCAAATATGTAATTTAGGATATGATAGCCTGCCATTTAGGGAGGCCTGGCTAGAAGGCCCTGCAGGAGCACGTTCCATCTTGGGGGAAGTGCCTGGGCCCAGAGCCCTTACTGGGACCCCCATCCTTCCAGGGTCCCCCCCCCCCAGCAAACAAATGATTGGGCCTTCTTTTTCATTCTTCCCCAGCACCAGTGATGCACTGCTATGTTGGGGGCATTAAAAAGACTTGGTGTTCCTCTCAGGGGCAGAAGGCACAGATTAAAAAAAGAATTCTTAATGGAAGTTACAAGTCCTAGTTTGCGCAGCCTGCCTGTACTGAGCCAAGTGAAGCTAGTTTGGAAATTAGATTTCCTCT